GGATACATCCATAACAATGAGCTAATGATGTGTGATTTTGCCTGGCGTAGAAAATGTGCTCTCTCGTCAGGACACTTGTTCAGAGGAGCTAGCTAATAACACAGCTAACACAATCACTTCAAACTGAAGCTGGAAAGACAGCAAACTAGCTGCACTTCGTTTCATTTGACCTGTTTTCTATTGATAGTTCTTTGTATATATCCATAGAAATGACGCTGATTCATGATTTCGACTGGCTGAGAAAAGCCGCCTGCTTGTCTCTCGTCCTGACTCCCGACACGTTCATTACTATGGGACATCTGGAGATCGAATTTGAATATTGAAACAATTTTGCAAATGTCGGAGAGACAGACAGCAAGGTTTATTCAAATCTCCGCTGTTGAAAACGAAATGTTAGTCTAAAAGAAATATGAGATAATGTCTAGATGCTTTTTATAGCAGAGATCACGTTTCTAAAGTGCCTGGCTGGGGTGACGAGACAATGGATTGCGCAGTCAGATAGAACAGAGTAAATAGGCATTTTAACGTCATATATTTGGTCGGTGGTAACTTGTGGAATAGACACCGGCTGGAATGCGGTTTTAACCAATCAGCATTCAGGATTAGACCCACCAGTTGTATAATTCCCTATAACACACAGTATATTTGCACAGTAGAATTCAATGGCTATAGTTAATTCTTACATGTTCTAAGTTTGAGCTGCTTTTGAAAGCATTGTTGAATTCAATTTTCATAATGGCAAGCTAGGATTGATGGTTTGGTTAGCTAAACTAGCAAGTATTTTTGTTTAGTTACCATGGCAACTACTGTAGCTATCTAGTAAACGTGCTAGCTACTTCGGTGGATGTTGAACACATTTCTAGCGGCAAAGGAACACATTTCTAGCGGCACGTGTTAATCAACTCGGGGCTCTATGCGTTCTCTGGAAAGTAATGCAACTCCATGGATGGTCAGTTCCACTCCGCTAGCGTGTTGTGTAACACACCTTACACGTTGTTCATTATTTTCCATAGAACGCATAGCCCCTCATTGATTATCCCTTACATCAACAACCAAGAGCAAGTGTAAGATAAATGCACCGCAATAGGCCATGTCTGCTTGAATTGGCATTACTGAGTAGTACAAACTACACAATATTAGATAAAGTTTGTTGAAAGAAGCAGTAAAGTTTCCTTACCTATGACTTGGCTCAGACCTTTAATGAGCATAGCTCTGGCACAGTCAGAGTCCATTGTTACTATCACCAGTACCTACACATAGAGACAACATAAAACCTAATTACCTCTGAAATACTACAGTCGTCAATAGTGATGACCACCACATAGTATACTTTGTGGTGAAGTTCACATAGTGTAGATCAGGGGTGTCAAACTCATTCCATGGATGGCCTAGTGTCTGCGGGTTTTGGGGTTTTCCATTCAATTAAGACCTAGACAACCAGGTGAGGGGAATTCCTTACTAATTAGTGACCTTAATTCATTAATCAATTAAAAGAGAGGAGCGAAAACCCGCAGACACTCGGACCTCCGTGGAATGAGTTTGACACGTACTGTAGATTGTACTGTGCCTTTTAGCTGTCATGTTGAAAAAAAAAAAAGATTAGCCGACATGTTGAAAAGAAAAATATTTTTTTTATTTTTTTTTTAAATTATTTTAAAATGGATTAAATAAATACAATTCCTCATCAATCTACACACAATACCCCATAATGACAAAGTAAAAACAGGTTTTTAGATTTTTTTGCACATTTATTACATGGAGGATGAGCAATGGAAACAGGATGCACCTGAGCAATATCTTATTTACATAAGTATTCAGACCTTTTGCTATGAGACTCGAAATTGACCTCAGGTGCATCCTGTTTCCATTGCTTATCCTCGAGATGTTTCTACATCTTGATTGGAGTCCACCTGTAGTAAATTAAATTGATTGGACATGATTTGGAAAGGCACACACCTGTCTATATAAGGTCCCACAGTTGACATTGCATGTCAGAGCAAAAACCAAGCCATGAGGTCAAAGGAATTGTCCGTAGAGCTCCGAGACAGGATTGTGTCGAGGCACAGATCTGGGGAAGGGTACCAAAACATTTCTGCAGCATTGAGGGTCCCCAAGAACACAGTGGCCGCCTTCATTCTTAAATGGAAGAAGTTTGGAACCACCAAGACTCTTCCTAGAGCTGGCCGCCCGGCCAAACTGAGCAATCGAAGGGAGAAGGGCCTTGGTCAGGGAGGTGACCAAGAACCCAATGGTTACTCTGACAGAGCTCCAGAGTTCCTCTGTGGAGATGGGAGAACCTTCTAGAAGGACAACCATCTCTGCAGCACTCCACCAATCAGGCCTTTATGGTATAGTAGCCAGACTGAAGCCACTCCTCAGTAAAAGGCACATGACAGCCCGCTTGGGGTTTGCCAAAGGGCACCTAAAGGACTCTCAGACCATGAGAAACAAGATTATCTGCTCTGATGAAACCAAGATTGAACTATTTGGCCTGAATGCCAAGCGTCACGTCTGGAGGAAACCTGGCACCATCCCTACGGTGAAGCATGGTGGTGGCAGCATCATGCTGTGGGGATGTTTTTCAGCGGCAGGGACTGGGAGACTAGTCAGGATCGAGGGATAGATGAACGGAGCAAAGTACAGAGAGATCCTTGATAAAAACCTGCTCCAGAGCGCTCAGAACCTCAGACTGGGGCGAAGGTTCACCTTCCAACAGGACAACGACCCTAAGCACACAGCCAAGACAACGCAGGAGTGGCTTCGGGACAAGTCTCTGAATGTACTTGAGTGGCCCAGCCAGAGCCTGGACTTGAACCCGATCGAACATCTCTGGAGAGACCTGAAAATAGCTGTGCAGCGACGCTCCCCATTCAACCTGACAGAGCTTGAGAGGATCTGCAGAGAAGAATGGGAGAAACTCCCCAAATACAGGTGTGCCAAGCTTGTAGCGTCATGCCCAAGAAAACTTGAGGCTGTAATCGCTGCCAAAGGTGCTTCAACAAAGTACTGAGTAAAGGGTCTGAATATTTATGTAAATGTGGTATTTCCGTTTTTATTTTTTATATAAATGTGCAAAATGTTCTATAAACCTGTTTTTGCTTTGTCATTATGGGGTATTGTGTGTAGATTGATGAGGGGGAAAAAAGCCATTTTAGAAGAAGGCTGTAACATAACTAAATGTGGACAAAGTGAAGGGGTCTGAATACTTTCCGAATGCACTGTACTGTACTACGAATATGGGGCTGCACACTTAGTGATGAAACCTCAGAACACACACTGTTGCAGGTTGCCGTGTCCTGTAACCTGAAATAAGTAGCATCTGTAGTGGTAGAAAATGCCAAGGAATGTACCTCTGCTATGAAAAGTACATGACATTATCTCCCTAGTCTTACCCCCACACTGGTCATAGGCCAAGAGTTGACTTACTGTTTGTAGACTGGAGAGATCTGCTCGGCTGGGAGATGGGAGGAGGCCAGACAGATCTGGGTCAGGCTGGGCTTGGGAGAGTTGGTGAGGGGCAGGTCCATCTCCGTCTGAGTAGGCAACATCAAATGATCTGAGGAGAGAAATTTGAATTATTCACACATGGATTTGGTTACACCGTATGTCGATAATACACTGTACAGTGTAAGTAGCCATTTTGTTTATTCACTGACTCTTGACACATGAGAAACAGTGAGATCTACAGTAAATTGACAGTATTGTACCTAATGACTTGAGATCCATCAGGATTTCATCCATCTCACAGTAAGAGTCATTGACTGTCAGCCTTGGCACTTCAAACTGGGAAATGTCCACTGACACCAGTGCATCTGAGGGAGTAGCTGAAAGAACATATAAAACATGTTGTTATTGGAAATGCTAATTTCTTCTCAATGACTTACCTGGCTAAAGGTTAAATAAAAAGATGACACGGTAAATGTTGGTCCTTGACAGAATTATCCCTCACCTGTAGTGAGCATATCCAGGCAAGAGGTTTGGTCCTCTATCAATTCAGGTAAAACATTCAATAGGTAATGAATATTTTAAAAGGGGATGAAATCTTCCCTCTTGAGTGTGCAGGTGTCCAATTCAACAGGTAGCATCAGAGACTATAAGAAATGAATAACATTGTCGAAATAAATCATTCAATCTGGTAACTATTTCCTAAACAGATATGTTATGTCATCTTCCTCCTCCGTGTCCCAGTGTTTCCCCTATATTCATTTGCAGTGGCGGGCCGCTGCTGCTAAATCGTTGCTGCCACTCCAAGATGTATTTTTATTTTTTGTAAATAATTTTCGGTTGTAGAACAAATGTGGCAGTGTAAACTTAAATGACTAAAACCAGATATAAAGCAGATATAAAGTATGCATAAAAGATAAAGGAGTAATATATTTTTTTTAATAAGATCCACAATAAACACTACACAGTCAGAGAGAATCAATTTTTTTTTAAATGTCATGGCAGGGTGCTAGTGATTTTGTTATAATGCTTGAGTCACTCAGATAGCATAAGAACACGGAATAAGCCATGGCAAAATGTGTAGAATTGCAGGAAATTAGCTTTAAAACTGAAAGTATTTCTCTCAGTCCCATGACAAAATGTGTAGAATTGCAGGATACAAGCGTTAAAACTAAAATGCTCTCTCCGCCCCATGGCAAAATGTGTAGAATTGCAGGAAATTTGCTTTAAAACAGCAAAATGTTGTCTCTTTGGTCAGAGACCAGGCAATTGGCCACGCCCACCACCACGCCACCGCTGCTGAAGAAAATCCTAAAGGAAACACTGGTGTCCTCTATTATTACCGCTTCATTCAACAATGACTTTTTGCTAAACTCCTCGTCAGTGTTTGCGCAACTCAATATTAGGAAGGTCTCCTAATATTTTGTACACTCAGTGTGACTCATAAATGGAAAATTGCCTGTTGTTTTCTATGAGGATTTTTTCAATTAATTAATTAATTTCACTTCATTTCGCTTCCGGAGTTCACTGAATTGACCCTAACCCTGTTGCCTACCTGAATATAGATTCCTTTGACAGGGTGTCTCCAGTGGTGCTGAGAAGTTGGTCTGACACAGGCAGGTTCCTCAGTCTGGACATGGTGGCTTTCAAGGAGGGCAGACGTTTCTTGAGCTGTGTCAAGTGATCAACAAACAGCACCGCCTCTGGCATGACAAGATTTGAGACATAAAATGCGGGTTTGGTTAAATTAGCACGTCCACATACAGTAACAGTCAAAAGTTTGGACACACCTACTCATTCCAGGGTTTTTCTTTATTTTATACTATTTTCTACATTATAGAATAATAGTGAAGACATCAAAACTATGAAATAACACATATGGAATCAAAAAAGTGTTAAACAAATCAAAATATATTTTATATTTGAGATTCTTCAAAGTAGCCACCCTTTGCCTTGATGACCGCTTTGCACACTCTTGGCATTCTCTCAACCAGCTTCATGAGGTAGTCACCTGGAATGCATTTCAATTAACAGGTGTGCCTTGTTAAAAGTTAATTTGTGGAATTCCTTTCCTTAATGCATTTGAGCCAATCAGTTGTGTTGTGACAAGGTAGGGGTGGTATACAGAAGATAGCACTATTTGGTAAAATACCAGGTCCATATTATGGCAAGAACAGCTAAAAAAATCAAAGAGAAATGACAGTCCATCATTACTTTAAGACATGAAGGTCAGTCAATCCGGAAAATGTCAAGAACTTTGAAAGTTTCTTCAAGTGCTGTCGCAAAAACCATCAAGCTATGATGAAACTGGCTATCATGAGGACTGCCACAGGAAAGGAAGACCCAGAGTTACCTCTGCTGCAGAGGATAAGTTCATTCGAGTTACCAGCCTCAGAAATTGCAGCCCAAATAAATGCTTCACAGAGTTCAAGTAACAGAAACATCTCAACATCAACTGTTCAGAGGAGACTGCGTGAATCAGGCCTTCATGGTCGAATTGCTGCAAAGAAACCACTACTAAAGGACACCAATAAGGAAGAAAAAGCAGTCAACAAGTGCTCAGCATATGTGGGAACTCCTTCAAGACTGTTGGAAAAGAATTCCAGGTGAAGCTGGTTGAGAGAATGCCAAGAGTGTGCAAAGTTGTTATCAAGGCAAAGGGTGGCTACTTTGAATAATCTCAAATCTCAGATATATTTTGATTTGTTTAACACTTTTTTGGTTACTACATGATTCCATATGTGTTATTTCATAGTTTTGATGTTTTCACTATTCTACAATGTAGAAAACATTAAAAATAAAGAAAAACCCTTGAATGAGTAGGTGTGTCCAAACTTTTGACTGGTACTGTAGATATTGTGCGACTTGTTTCTTTTAACTTACCCCTATTGACATAGACACATCTTATATCAGGTACCTTAGGACAGGATTTCCCTGATCATGTATGTTTGAGTGCACAATAAAGACAAATCAAGGTATTTTCATCATTATTCATCCAATAACAGGGAAATTACATTGACTGATATACAGTGTACGAATATATCCTCATGCTGATACCTTGGGCTCTTTTGCTCTGCTGTGCTCTTGCTAAATGATTCATTGCAGACAACGTGTCCCTTGTCCCTCCTAGCCTCTCTTGGGAGCCACACTGCTTCATCTAAATCAAGCTGTGAGTTGGGGTTGGAGCTCACCCCAGAGGATCCCCTCTCACCTGGGTCAGACTAACGCTCAGCCTGAAAACTGACATCATGATGAGAAAACCCTGTCAGATAGTCCTTCAGTAACCTCCCAGCTGTCAACTCTGTTGAACTTTTAAGCATTCAGATTGTATTTAAACACACATACTGTAGGTGTACAGTAGCCTAGCTACATATTTTCAAATGAAAATACATATTTACTTCTGGTTGTCCTTTAGTCCCCAAGTCATCTAGTACAGATCCACTGACAAACAGTTTGCAGGTGGAAATCACATTTCCTGTCAAAACAAGGAATAGGAAAACATTGTTTACGAGTCATTATCTAACCACTGCTGATGTAATTAAATGAATGTTTAGACTCATTCCTATAGATAATCATAATATTTCAAATCTGTGTTGAGCCATATACATTGAAAACATTTACATCTACATTACAAAAAACCTTGGAATTGGGTCAACTGCTGGGCAGCTAGGTAGAACTGCTGGGTAGTCAGGTAGATTTGGGCAGATGATATAAATTAAAAGAGTCACTCATCATACCTCTGCTCCATGGTTTCCTGTAGGTGACCTCAGGGGGGTTTCCAGTGTGGGGGTAGAGGTCACTGCTGCCCAGATGGTGGGGCATCGGCAAGGCCAGCCAATTAATGGTCAACTTGAGACTAGTAGAAGCCTATAGATTGAGACAACAATGCAATGTAACAACCAGACCAAGGTTCAAATACTACTATACTTTAGCTGTGCTCGATTGAGTTTGCCTGTTGCAATGAAACCAATATAAAAGTGCAAACCCCGCCCACCTGGAACTCCAGGCAGGCTAAAGCAAAAGATTTCAAAGAGAATTTGAACACAGGTTTGGTAACAATACACAACACTAATTTATGTTAACTAGAAATAATAAACTGTGGATAAATCATTGGCTAACACACAGGCTTTAGACAGAGGGGAAAGGCCTAAGTAGCTCTCTCACCTCAAAAGCATAGTCGAGAGCTCTGTATTTGACTGCTGAGAAAATATGACTTGAGAAAGTGCACCCATCTTCAGACCTGGAGGGGGACAAACAAAAGTAGAGCATGACTGTAGAGCCAAGAGCCGAGTAGTACCTGTTGTGCATCATTTTAATACATTGGTCTTATCAAAGAGGCAGCCTTAAATTATGGATATTGGTCATGTCATGCTGTATTTGCATGACTCAATAGCCTACAATATTGGGTGACATGGTGCTTTGAACTCATATGAGCCAGTTGCTGCAGGAACATAAACACACAAACTAACAGGTGTTTGGACTCTGTGTCGGATACAACAGATAAATCAAAGGAAACGTTTTTCATCACTACTAAAGAGAAGGGCATTCCGTCAGCCAAGGTTTGTTTGAGTTTCAAATATATTCAAATAACAAATGATTAATGCGAGCAAAAAAAAAAGGTCAAAATAGAGTATATTACTGTGTCATTTTTACATTTTAGTCATTTAGCAGATGCTCTTATCCAGAGCATACATTTTTTTTTCATACTGGTCCCCCATGGGAATTGAACCCAGAACCCTGGCATTGCAAGCGCCATGCTCTACCAACTGAGCTACACGGGACTACATCGTATTTTGTCTTCAACATATTAATTTGTTTGACTTCTGAAATGCATGCCAATTCAGAAATTATTGACATATTGGACAAGTTTGAGAGCAAAGTACAGTATTTTGTCGTAACTTAGGAGAAATTGACTTTTTAATAGCTATTTTATTTAAAAAGAAGGTAGACAATCCTTTGGTTTGAGATGAACACCACTGACAATGAACACCCTGCAGTCTCCAACCTCTCCTATAGCAACTCAACTGGACTTGACTACTCTTCGATGTATATATATTTTTTTACAGTTTTCCATGTCACCAACTTTGTGATTGGCTTTCCTGTTAGCGGTTGGGTGGTGTGGCTGATTTTGACTGGGCCTGGGGTGGCTGCAGAGATCTTCACCCTCAACCTGAGCATGACTGAGATCCTCTACTGCATAGGTACCCCCCTTATGATTGTATACACTTACATCCCTAAGGAGGCTCTTGGAAAAGTGGCGGAATTCATGTGGGGCTTTATCTGGATTTGTCATCCCCTGTTCCAGTGCTGTATCTGTGTGGAGCGCTACCTGGCGGTGGTCCACCCTGTGGTCTTCTTAAAGTGCAGACCCCTTAGATACAGAGTGAGGTGTAGCAGTTTAGTCTGGTTTGTAGTTTTGGTTTCTTCTGTGGTCTTTGGAATCTTCTATCCTCATGTACCACACTATGGGTTCTTGGTCTTGTTCCTGATTCCCTTTTTGGTCATGTTGTTCTGCTGCCTCTCAATTCTCAGAGGTCTTAAAAAGTCTGGAACGGTGAAAGGGAGGGGGGAAATAACTTGAAGATGAAGGCCTCATGAAAAACGCATGTCAAATAAATACTTATTTCCCTCATTAAAATGCAAATCAATTTATAACATTTTTGACATGCGTTTTTCTGGATTTTGTTGTTGTTATTCTGTCTCTCACTGTTCAAATAAACCTACCATTAAAATTATAGACTGATAATTTCTTTGTCAGTGGGCAAACGTACAAAATCAGCAGGGGATCAAATACTTTTTTCCCTCACTGTATATCTCATTACTAGTGGTTGTCATCCTGTTTGATCAATCAAATAGGGTGGAATTAATTGTTCCCGGTGTTTGCATCAACGTGGATGTGTTGTGTGGGTTGGTGCAGCCCCTCCTTTACCTCCACAGGGCTGGGAAACTGCCCTGTATTAGGAGTCCAAGAGATGATTGAGGTGGAAATGTACCCCCTCTCTCTCCATCTTTTTTCAGTCGCTAAAATCACAAATACACATATCTTCACTCACACGCACACACACCACAAGTGTTCAGGCTGTGGGTGGATTTGCTTAATAGACGTATCAATCCTCTCGGTCAGACAGATGTAAATCTGACACTCCTCATAGGAGAGACACTTTTCAACACCACAGGTCAGACCCAATTTGGGTTGTTAAAAGCTACAGTCTGGGATTTAAAAAACAAAACACTCCCCCTGACACAGGTATACAGCTGACAGTCCATGGCATCCACATAATAGTTTCAAACATAATTGGAAGAGCAATGTATAGCTCTATATTGGTTTGTTTATGAATAATAAAAAACATTTAGTGCTATGATAGGGTATGACAGTTGTGCTAAGCTAAAATGTAGCTATGTTATATTAGTCTTCTAGAATCAATGGGTAGGCCTCTATGAATATTTTAAATGACTATTGAACAGATACCCAGACTGTAGCTTTAAAATCCAGATTTTAGGCTAGACTATGTTGTGCTTTGAATAGACCCCTTTCTGTGTTTACAAACATTGCCGCACGAGGGCGATGCGCGCAAGTTGGTGGCAGAACAAGGGGGAGTTCTTATAGAATGGCAGCAAAAAAATCCTCTATTTACATGTTGCTTATGAGTGCATTTCACACTACTTTGGGATTATAATTGGATTTTAAGGCTCGTATGAATGTCCTGCTTAATATAATGTTTGTGTCATCATCGCAAATCAACTGCATTATACTTAAAAAACACTTCAACCAGTAAAATGGCTCTTTGGCTAGCTTTTGCTACAGCCTATATCAATGAGCGTTAGCATTCTAGCTAACAACTGCTGCATCCAAAATAGTTATTTTGCAAAGATCACAACCAAATGTAATCTTAGTGACTGTTCAAGCAAGAATCAAAACATTGTAAGCGTATGAGAACCCCAAAAAGTGATTTTGTTTAGAAGTAAAAAAAACAACGTAAATCTAGGCTATGTTGAATGGACACAGATGGTGATGGCTTTCTTACTGCCGCCAAGAGTCGCGTGCATCTGTGCGTGACGTCAGTGTGTCATGTACTGGAAAATGGTCATAGTTTATTGTAGCTGTATAACTTGTGATTTATTTCAGTTAGCTAGTACAGTACACCCTGTTAAAGAGAACTCCTCACATATAGTAGCTAGGCCTATATTGTATTATGTACAGTACATTACCCAGGGCCCAAATAAGCTTACTGTATGATATTGAGTTTATAATGTGTTTTTGTTGCTAAAGAGTTGAATTATATTATAATGTGTGGATTGTGTTATACAAAAACAATGTCTTCTTTGCAATACAAATTAGGCCTAATTTTGTTTTCTACTATGAAGTACATTTGTGATGAGGTGAGAAAGAGAGACGTTACATGGATGCTGTTAGCTAACTATTTTTTAGCCATTAGCTCTCTAGTATCATTTTAGATAGCTAAAGCCAACCAGGCCAATGGTAGGTTGATCTGGGATAGCTAGCTAACACTGTCATAACAAATAGTGGGTTAGCTAGCTGACTAACGTTAGCTAGCTCTGGCCATGGAATCAAGCTCCCTACAAATGAAGATTGTTCACAGGATTGTGAATATTGTTGTATATAACCAACCATTACATTTTATCAATACTTATAGCTATGTTATTTGACACTTACATGGCAGCCTCAATGACCTGATTGACCTCCCTTTATCTAAAAAATAAATAAATGACAGAACCTCCTCTTCACTTCAGTCTCAACTTTCGATGCCCTCAAGACATTCACTGACTGAAAATCATGACGTCACGAGATGAAATTGGAGGGGGGACTATGGATCTGTCTCCGTCCGTCCGTTCGTACGTTAGTCACACACGATATCTCAGACACCACCGGCCCGATTTTGACGAAACTTGGGTGAATGATGCGTCTTGCCATAGAGATCCGGCATTTATAAAATTACACTGATTTGCCCAAGGGGAGTGCTATAGTAATCAACTGAAATCTCAAACTTTGAACAAGCATATCTCCTGTCCCGTTTGAGCTTGAATTGTTGTCACTAATTGGCCCAAGGGGGGGGGGGGGGGGGGGGGGGCCTGCATCATTCATGGGGGACGACGTTTACGGTTGCCTTTCTCTGAACTTGTCATTAATAAATGTAATAATAAAAGGGTTTGCTACCAACAGAGTAAATAGTTTCAATGCATTGTATTGCATGTGTTTATGTATATTTTAAGAACATATTATTTATGATATTGCACATAATAAAACTGTATAAACAATGACAAAACTAAAACATTTTTACTTGTATTTTATCACAAAAAACAACAACAATACAAAACACATTTTTACAGTTACAATACTACAGGTAAATGTTGTCACGATGACTGTCATGCCTTCTTACAAAACCTGAAAAGGGGATACAGAAAGTTAAGTCAGACTTAATCAATATACATGAAAATGATTTGCACATATCATAAATGTAATATATAGGCATACGCACTAGGATAGAATAGATCTTACCAGGTGTAACAGTATCCCAGAAAAATGGCCAAAGCAAAGACTCCAATTGATCCTCCAGCGAAAAGCGATGAAACCTTCATTACGTAGGATATATCTACCAAACGAGAGAAAACATCATACATCATCGATACAACAATCTGATTAAACCACAACAGTGATTTAAATATGAGAAAAGGAACCCTTACCTCTGACTTTTGCCCAGATAACACAAGAGTGCTTGAAAGCCTAGAAAATAGTTCAAATGGCACATACAGAATGACTAATTATTAATGCAGGAGTTCTATAAGATCAACAATCAATATCAATAATAATTTGTTAAAGATGACCTTCAAAACGGTCCTTCCTTTTATATGAATAAACTCCACATATCATTTATTTCCAATGCATAGCAGTTAGTCTTACTCCTCCCCATTGACTGACAGCTCGTAATATGATGTAATAGTCTCTGCCGTTCTGTAAAGGAGCGTTGTAGAAGCCTCCATAGTAGCGTCCATCGCCCACAGTCAGGTTCATCTCTTTCCCTATATCCCTCAGATGGAGCTGGGCAGTGATGTACTGTCCATGGTGCTTTCTCTGACTGGAGAAGTCTGGGTTCTTAGGAGAGCTGCAGTCAAACACAAGAGTCCCCTCCAGTGGCAACACAAATACCTGGTAGAAACTGTAAACCCAGGAACAAAAGAGAAAAGGGTTTGTGTCGTAATAGCCAGACAAGGGTGGCAGACCTCACTTGGTAAATTTCAAGATACTAAATCAGCATTTAGTACGGGAGAGGGTTGGAGGTAAAATTATGAATTACCTAATTGAGTCCAGAGTGTTAGCTGATCTGCGTAGCCATAGAGTGGGCAATGGAGCCTCAACTTCTCTGTATAAAATCTCTGGGGCTTGAGGCACTATAAGATGAGAAGGCATTGACACGTTTAATAACATTGGATATCATATCCAAGTCAAAGTCAATATTCTGCTCCATGTTTCTCATAATATCTTCAAATATTTAATCTTCAAATTGTCATGGTTAGTTGAGGTTGTTTGTAGTGTACCTTGTAGGCTGGTGTTTGTTGTGAGTGTGGAGGTGAACCTGGCAGACAGTGCAGTGATGCTGATGGTGTAGTTGGTAACAGGCAGCAGGTTCAGGCAGATCTCAGGGCGGTCTGAAGTGGAGCTGAGGAGCTTCTTCCTCTTGTCATGGAATGACCTTTGATAGGCCCTGAATCCCACAAATGCTACCTGTAACATACAGGTAGACAGATCAAATAATGATGGTCAAGGTGTATGCATAGGTGTATGCAGTTCAGAGAGCACTTTTTCTAATCAACAATATTATGATATTTTAAGGTCCTTGTTAAGGTAAACTTACTCTGTAATTCTCTGTGTCTTCTTCATACTTGTCTGCTTGCCAACGCAAACATTTTTCATTAAAGACAACCAAGTCACTGATGGCAGGCTTGATTTCTGGTAGGGACAAGAGATGAGAAACAATGTGTAAAAAAAAAAGAATCACTGATCAACACAAATTCCTTCCACATACTAAAAGGTTTTTCAACTGAACTATGGTTTACGGAGTTATAAATGCATACCTCTGCATCGCATTGTGGCAGCCTGCCACTTCCCAGTGATGTCACAAATAGAGGTATTTCTTCCTCTCCAGCTGTGGAATCCTTTCAGACAGCGATGGAACACAACACTTCTGTTCTGCCACACCACCTCTGTGTTGGCCAGAGAAGGGACTGGTCCACATTTAGCTGTCAAAACAAGGTGGAAGTCAGATCAATTGAATTATCCTAAGGAGCTCCTGTGATGATTACCATAAAAGATTAGATCACATTGCACAGTATATACAAATACTAGTCTTGATTATTTTGTTGCAACACACTAGTGATCATGATTAAACATGAATTTACAAACCATTCCCCAATACAACATTACCCCCTTCTGGTACAGAATAGTAAGTGCTGAAAGCACATCTACTACAACATCTCTCTCCATAGGTGGACACATTCATGAAAGACATACAACATCAATTTGAATGTGAGCACTTTGACACAATATAATGAGTTCACGGGAGTAACTGTTACAGTATGCCCACACAGACAATTGATCATGCAGCAGAATAGGGTTTGCTTCAGAATTATATATTGTTACCGTACCTTTGCATATTATTGAAACAATTCCCCACTGTCCTGATGATGAACAAGTTGAGAGACCATTTCCTCCCTCCTGGTAAAATCCATCCTTACATACATACTCAATCATACTGCCCAGGACAGTTGTATTGTCCCACAACATGTTAGTATGGGGAAGGATTACTGGAGCCCCACAGTTTAACTCTGCTCATAGAAATCAATTTAGGTTTGTTTGGTTAAACATAAAGAGACAAAAATACTACTGTACATGTTTAAGTTATTCAAGCAATATGACTCATACAGTACAATAATAGAGCAAATTTGCATTTGAATATAAATGAAAATACATGTCTTTGAAAGACCATCATTATATTGCTGGTAATATAAATGCACCTTCACATTGAAGTTCTATATCCTCCCAAAGCCCATTCTCTCCACACTCAGTATAACATCTCCCACTTGTGGTGTAATATCCTTCAACACATTGGTAATAAACCACACTACCAATCAATGATGTCCGGTCCTATAGCATCTTAGCATGGGATATAAACACTGGCTCCCCACAGTCAATCTCTATAATTTGAAATGAGGATAGTGGTTCTATAAGATTTGGTATCATACGTCATTGTTATTAATGTATCATGACCACACAGAAATCACTAATGTAATACCGTCACATAGAAAATATGTCTGTTCCCACTGTTCCTTGGCAGTGCATACTGATACATTTCCCTCTACCAAATTGTAATATCCAGAGTTACATTGATAAACCACCTCAGAGCCCATCCAGGTGCCCTAATCCCACAACATTACTGAGTGAGGGAGGGCAGGGGGAGAACTACAGTCAACCTCTACAGAGAGAATGGTTGAGATTACAGATTATTCACCAGGATATTTGTATAGGAAGTAGATTTGGCCTCTCTGATATGATTCATACATAAATTAGAGCAAATCTCAAAAGAGGTTTCACTAGAGAACATGTGACAAAGTCTTATTCATTACCTTTACATGACAACGTTGCCTTTGTCCAGTAACCGTCTCTAGTGCATTGGGAAATATTCCCTCCTCCCTCTCTATGAAATCCCTCTTTACAGTAAAACAGCACAGTGCTGCCAGGGATTGTGCTGCCATTCCACACCTGTCCAGTGTGGGGCAGTATAGGGGGATCACCACACATTATCTCTACAAAGAGAAAGCATTACAACGGTGTGCAATTTCTGCACATGTCCATCAGGCAGACATTCATATTTTACATTTTGGACACACAATATTGTTCCATGGTATGGTCAACATGGCCTAGGAGGTATTTGTTAAAGCACTTGGTTAATTCAGTTATGGGTTAATTATGGATAACTTGTAATGTATTGATTGCAGGTGGTAATGTTGAGAGGGAAGATTTATTTTACCTTCACATATAAAAAATGTCTGGTCCCACTGTCCATTGGCAGTGCATACTGAGACATTTCCCTTTCCCACATTGTAATATCCAGAGTTACACTGATAAACCACCTCAGAGCCTATCCTGGTGGTCTGATCCCACAACATTACTGAGTGAGGGAGGACAGGGGGAGAACCACAGTCAACCTCTACAGAAAGAATGAGAGAATGGTTTGAGATAACAGATTATTAACCAGGATATTTGTATAGGAAGTAGATTTGGCCTCTCTGATATGATTCCTACATGACATATAGATTACAGCACATCTCAAAAGAGGTTTCACAAGAGAATATGTGACAAAGTATTGTGTGGCAAAACGGTTACCTTTACATGACAACGTTGCCTTTGTCCAGTAACCGTCTCTAGTGCATTGGGAAATATTCCCTCCTCCCTCTCTATGAAATCCCTCTTTACAGTAAAACAGCACAGTGCTGCCAGGGATTGTGCTGCCATTCCACACCTGTCCAGTGTGGGGCAGTGTAGGGGGATCACCACACATTATCTCTACAAAGAGAAAGCATTAAAACAGTGTGCAATTTCTGCACATTTCCATCAGGCAGACATTAATATCTTACATTTTGAACACACAATATTGTTCCATGGTATGGTCAACATGGCCTAGGAGGTATTTGTTAAAGCACTTGGTTAATTCAGTTATGGGTTAATTATGGATAACTTGTAAGGTATTGATTGCAGGTGGTAATGTTGAGAGGGAAGATTTATTTTACCTTCACATATAAAAAATGTCTGGTCCCACTGTCCATTGGCAGTGCATACTGAGACATTTCCCTTTCCCACATTGTAATATCCAGAGTTACACTGATAAACCACCTCAGAGCCTATCCTGGTGGTCTGATCCCACAACATTACTGAGTGAGGGAGGACAGGGGGAGAACCACAGTCAACCTCTACAGAGAGAATGAGAGAATGGTTTGAGATAACAGATTATTGACCAGGATATTTGTATAGGACGTAGATTTGGCCTCTCTGATATGATTCCTACATGACATATACAGTAGGGAAAAAAAGTATTTAGTCAGCCACCAATTGTGCAAGTTCTCCCACTTAAAAAAATGAGAGAGGCCTGTAATTTTCATCATAGGTACACGTCAACTATGACAGACAAATTGAGGAAAAAAAATCCAGAAAATCACATTGTAGGATTTTTTATGAATTTATTTGCAAATTATGGTGGAAAATAAGTATTTGGTCACCTACAAACAAGCAAGATTTCTGGCTCTCACAGACCTGTAACTTCTTCTTTAAGAGGCTCCTCTGTCCTCCACTCGTTACCTGTATTAATGGCACCTGTTTGAACTTGTTATCAGTATAAAATACACCTGTCCACAACCTCAAACAGTCACACTCCAAACTCCACTATGGCCAAGACCAAAGAGCTGTCAAAGGACACCAGAAACTAAATTGTAGACCTGCACCAGGCTGGGAAGACTGAATCTGAAATAGGTAAGCAGCTTGGTTTGAAGAAATCAACTGTGGGAGCAATTATTAGGAAATGGAAGACATACAAGACCACTGATAATCTCCCTCGATCTGGGGCTCCACGCAAGATCTCACTCTGTGGGGTCAAAATGATCACAAGAACGGTGAGCAAAAATCCCAGAACAACACGGGGGGACCTAGTGAATGACCTGCAGAGAGCTGGGACCAAAGTAACAAAGCCTACCATCAGTAACACACTACGCCGCCAGGGACTCAAATCCTGCAGTGCAAGACGTGTCCCCCTGCTTAAGCCAGTACATGTCCAGGCCCGTCTGAAATTTGCTAGAGTGCATTTGGATGATCCAGAAGAGGATTGGGAGAATGTCATATGGTCAGATGAAACCAAAATATAACTTTTTGGTAAAAACTCAACTCGTCGTGTTTGGAGGACAAAGAATGCTGAGTTGCATCCAAAGAACACCATACCTACTGTGAAGCATGGGGGTGGAAACATCATGCTTTGGGGCTGTTTTTCTGCAAAGGGACCAGGACGACTGATCCGTGTAAAGGAAAGAATGAATGGGGCCATGTATCGTGAGATTTTGAGTGAAAACCTCCTTCCATCAGCAAGGGCATTGAAGATGAAACGTGGCTGGGTCTTTCAGCATGACAATGATCCCAAACACACTGCCCGGGCAACGAAGGAGTGGCTTCGTAAGAAGCATTTCAAGGTCCTGGAGTGGCCTAGCCAGTCTCCAGATCTCAACCCCATAGAAAATCTTTGGAGGGAGTTGAAAGTCTGTGTTGCCCAGCGACAGCCCCAAAACATCACTGCTCTAGAGGAGATCTGCATGGAGGAATGGGCCAAAATACCAGCAACAGTGTGTGAAAACCTTGTGAAGACTTACAGAAAACGTTTGACCTGTGTCATTGCCAACAAAGGGTATATAACAAAGTATTGAGAAACTTTTGTTATTGACCAAATACTTATTTTCCACCATAATTTGCAAATAAATTCATTAAAAATACTACAATGTGATTTTCTGGAATTTTTTTTCTCATTTTGTCTGTCATAGTTGACATGTACCTATGATGAAAATTACAGGCCTCTCTCATCTTTTTAAGTGGGAGAACTTGCACAATTGGTGGCTGACTAAATACTTTTTTTCCCCACTGTAGATTACAGCACATCTCAAAAGAGGTTTCACAAGAGAATACAGTGAGGGAAAAAACATAGCTACATTTTAGCTTAGCACAACTGTCATACCCTATCATAGCACTAAATGTTTTTTATTATTCATAAACAAACCAATATAGAGCTATACATTGCTCTTCCAATTATGTTTGAAACTATTATGTGGATGCCATGGACTGTCAGCTGTATACCTGTGTCAGGGGGAGTGTTTTGTTTTTTAAATCCCAGACTGTAGCTTTTAACAACCCAAATTGGGTCTGACCTGTGGTGTTGAAAAGTGTCTCTCCTATGAGGAGTGTCAGATTTACATCTGTCTGACCGAGAGGATTGATACGTCTATTAAGCAAATCCACCCACAGCCTGAACACTTGTGGTGTGTGTGCGTGTGAGTGAAGATATGTGTATTTGTGATTTTAGCGACTGAAAAAAGATGGAGAGAGAGGGGGTACATTTCCACCTCAATCATCTCTTGGACTCCTAATACAGGGCAGTTTCCCAGCCCTGTGGAGGTAAAGGAGGGGCTGCACCAACCCACACAACACATCCACTTTGATGCAAACACCGGGAATAATTAATTCCACCCTATTTGATTGATCAAACAGGATGACAACCACTAGTAATGAGATATACAGTGAGGGAAAAAAGTATTTGATCCCCTGCTGATTTTGTACGTTTGCCCACTTACAAAGACATGATCAGTCTATAATTTTAATGGTAGGTTTATTTGAACAGTGAGAGACAGAATAACAACAACAAAATCCAGAAAAATGCATGTCAAAAATGTTATGAATTGATTTGCATTTTAATGAGGGAAATAAGTATTTGACCCCTCTGCAAAACATGACTTAGTACTTGGTGGCAAAACCCTTGTTGGCAATCACAGAGGTCAGACGTTTCTTGTAGTTAGCTACCAGGTTTGCACACATCTCAGTAGGGATTTTGTCCCACTCCTCTTTGCAGATCTTCTCCAAGTCATTAAGGTTTCGAGGCTGACGTTTGGCAACTCGAACCTTCAGCTCCCTCCACAGATTTTCTATGGGATTAAGGTCTGGAGACTGGCTAGGCCACTCCAGGACCTTAATGTGCCTCTTCTTGAGCCACTCCTTTGTTGCCTTGGCCGTGTGTTTTGGGTCATTGTCATGCTGGAATACCCATCCACGACCCATTTTCAATGCCCTGGTTGAGGAAAAGAGGTTCTCACCCAAGATTTGATGGTACATGGCCCCATCCATCGTCCCTTTAATGCGGTGAATTTGTCCTGTCCCCTTAGCAGAAAAACACCCCCAAAGCATAATGTTTCCACCTCCATGTTTGACGGTGGGGATGGTGTTCTTGGGGTCATAGGCAGCATTCCTCCTCCTCCAAACACGGCGAGTTGAGTTAATGCCAAAGAGCTCAATTTTGGTCTCATCTGACCACAACACTTTCACCCAGTTCTCCTCTGAATCATTCAGATGTTCATTGGCAAACTTCAGACGGGCCTGTATATGTGCTTTCTTGAGCAGGGGGACCTTGCGTGCACTGCAGGATTTCAGTCCTTCACGGCATAGTGTGTTACCAATTGTTTTCTTGGTGACTATGGTCCCAGCTGCCTTGAAATCATTAACAAGATCCTCCTGTGTAGTTCTGGGCTGATTCCTCACCGTTCTCATGATCATTGCAACTCCACAAGGTGAGATCTTGCATGGAGCCCCAGGCCGAGGGATATTGACAGTTATTTTGTGTTTCTTCCATTTGCGAATAATCGCACCAACTGTTGTCACCTTCTCACCAAGCTGCTTGGCGATGGTGTTGTAGCCCATTCCAACCTTGTGTAGGTCTACAATCTTGTCCCTGACATCCTTGGAGAGCTCTTTGGTCTTGGCCATGGTGGAGAGTTTGGAATCTGATTGATTGCTTCTGTGGACAGGTGTCTTTTATACAGGTAACAAGCTGAGATTAGGAGCACTCCCTTTAAGAGTGTGCTCCTAATCTCAGCTCGTTACCTGTATAAAAGACACCTGGGAGCCAGAAATCTTTCTGATTGAGAGGGGGTCAAATACTTATTTCCCTCATTAAAATGCAAATCAATTCATAACATTTTTTACATGCATTTTTCTGGATTTTTTTGTTGTTATTCTGTCTCTCACTGTTCAAATAAACCTACCATTAAAATTATAGACTGATCATTTATTTGTCAGTGGGCAAACGTAAAAAATCAGCAGGGGATCAAATACTTTTTTCCCTCACTGTATGTGACAAAATATTATGTGGCAAAACGGTTACCTTTACATGACAACGTTGCCTTTGTCCAGTAACCGTCTCTAGTGCATTGGGAAATATTCCCTCCTCCCTCTCTATGAAATCCCTCTTTACAGTAAAACAGCACAGTGCTGCCAGGGATTGTGCTGCCATTCCACACCTGTCCAGTGTGGGGCAGTGTAGGGGGATCACCACACATTATCTCTACAAAGAGAAAGCATTAAAACAGTGTGCAATTTCTGCACATTTCCATCAGGCAGACATTAATGTCTTACATTTTGGACACACAATATTGTTCCATGGTATGGTCAACATGGCCTAGGAGGTATTTGTTAAAGCACTTGGTTAATTCAGTTATGGGTTAATTATGGATAACTTGTAAGGTATTGATTGCAGGTGGTAATGTTGAGAGGGAAGATTTATTTTACCTTCACATATAAAAAATGTCTGGTCCCACTGTCCATTGGCAGTGCATACTGAGACATTTCCATTTCCCACATTGTAATATCCAGAGTTACACTGATAAACCACCACAGAGCCTATCCTGGTGGTCTGATCCCACAACATTACTGAGTGAGGGAGGACAGGGGGAGAACCACAGTCAACCTCTACAGAGAGAATGAGAGAATGGTTTGAGATAACAGATTATTGACCAGGATATTTGTATAGGAAGTAGATTTGGCCTCTCTGATATGATTCCTACATGACATATAGATAACAGCACATCTCAAAAGAGGTTTCACAAGAGAATATGTGACAAAGTATTATGTGGCAAAACGGTTACCTTTACATGACAACGTTGCCTTTGTCCAGTAACCGTCTCTAGTGCATTGGGAAATATTCCCTCCTTCCTCTCTATGAAATCCCTCTTTACAGTAAAACAGCACGGTGCTGCCAGGGATTGTGCTGCCATTCCACACCTGTCCAGTGTGGGGCAGTATAGGGGGATCACCACACATTATCTCTACAAAGAGAAAGCATTAAAACAGTGTGCAATTTCTGCACATTTCCATCAGGCAGACATTAATATCTTACATTTTGAACACACAATATTGTTCCATGGTATGGTCAACATGGTCTAGGAGGTATTTGTTAAAGCACTTGGTTAATTCAGTTATGGGTTAATTATGGATAACTTGTAAGGTATTGATTGCAGGTGGTAATGTTGAGAGGGAAGATTTATTTTACCTTCACATATAAAAAATGTCTGGTCCCACTGTCCATTGGCAGTGCATACTGAGACATTTCCCTTTCCCACATTGTAATATCCAGAGTTACACTGATAAACCACCACAGAGCCTATCCTGGTGGTCTGATCCCACAACATTACTGAGTGAGGGAGGACAGGGGGAGAACCACAGTCAACCTCTACAGAGAGAATGGTTGAGATTACAGATTATTCACCAGGATATTTGTATAGGAAGTAAATTTGGCCTCTCTGATATGATTCATACATAAATTAGAGCAAATCCCAAAGGAGGTTTCACTAGAGAATATGTGACAAAGTCTTATACATTACCTTTACATGAAAATGTTGCCTTTGTCCAGTAACCGTCTCTAGTGCATTGGGAAATATTCCCTCCTCCCTCTCTATGAAATCCCTCTTTACAGTAAAAGAGCACAGTGCTGCCAGGGATTGTGCTGCCATTCCACACCTGTCCAGTGTGGGGCAGTATAGGGGGATCACCACACGTTATCTCTATAAAGAGAAAGCATTACAACAGTGTGCAATTTCCATCAGGAAAACATTAATGTCTGACATTTTGGACACACAATATAATTCCATGGTATGGTCAACATGGCCTAGGAGGTATTTGTTAAAGCACTTGGTTAATTCAGTTATGGGTTAGTTATAGATAACTTGTAAGGTAGTGATTGCAGATGGTGATTTATTATACCTTCACATAGCAAAGCTGACTTGTCCCACTGTCCATTAGCAGTGCATACTGATACATTTCCCTCTCCCACATTGTAAAACATTGAACCGCTGTAGTTTACAACAATTGTAAATTCTAAAGTGGAAATTGGGAGAGTTATATTTGAGTGTTTCAGTGAAACGTAAGTGAGGGAGGCCCCTCATTTCATTCCGATCTCCTTTGCATTATTGTAGCCTTTTTCTGTAGCCTGTCAACTATGTGTCTGTCTATCCCTGTTCTCTCCTCTCTGCACAGGCCATACAAACACTTCACACCGCGTGGCTGCTGCCACTCTAATCTGGTGGAGTTCCAGGTCTCCGGCAGCCTCTGGAACTGCCGTTCTGCGGCCAACAAGGCAGAGTTCATTTTAGCCTATGCTACCCTCCAGTCCCTCAACTTCTTGGCGCTGACGGAAACATGGATTACCACAGAAAACACTGCTACTCCTACTGCTCTTTCCTCGTCTGACCATGTGTTCTCGCATACCCAGAGAGCATCTGGTCAGCGCGGCGGTGGCACAAGAATCCTCATCTCTCCCAAGTTGACATTCTCTCTTTTTCCCCTGACCCATCTGTCTATCTCCTCATTTGAATTCCATGCTGTCACAGTCACTAGCCCATTCAAGCTTAACATCCTTGTCATTTATCGCCCTGCAGGTTCCCTTGGAGAGTTCATCAATGAGCTTGATACCTTGATAAGTTCCTTTCCTGACGATGGCTCACCCCTCACAGTTCTGGGTGACTTTAACCTCCCTACGTCTGCCTTTGACTCATTTCTCTCTGCCTCCTTCTTTCCACTCCTTTCCTCTTTTGACCTCACCCTCTCACCTTGCCCCCCTACTCACAAGGCAGGCAATACGCTTGACCTCATCTTTACTAGATGCTGTTCTTCTACTAATCTCACTGCAACTCCCCTCCAAGTATCCGACCACTACTTTGTATCCTTTTCTCTCACGCTCTCCTCCAACACTACTCACTCTGCCCCTACTCAGATGGTAATGTGCCGTCGCAACCTTCGCTCTCTCTCTCCCGCTACTCTCTCCTCTTCCATCCTATCATCTCTTCCCTCTGCCAAATCCTTCTCCCTCCAATCTCCTGATTCTGCCTCCTCAACCCTCCTCTCCTCCCTTTCTGCATCTTTTGACTCTCAATGTCCCCTATCCTCCCGGCCGGCTCGGTCCTCCCCTCCTGCTCCGTGGCTTGACGATTCATTGCGAGCTCACAGAAGAGGGCTCCGGGCAGCCGAGCGGAAATGGAGGAAAACTAGACTCCCTGCGGACCTGTCATCTTTTCACTCCCTCCTCTCTACTTTTTCTTCCTCTGTTTCTGCTGATAAAGCCACTTTCTACCACTCTAAATTTCAAGCCTCTGCCTCTAACCCTAGGAAGCTCTTTGCCATCTTCTCCTCCCTGCTGAATCCTCCTCCTCCTCCCCCTCCCTCCTCCCTCTCTGTGGATGACTTCGTCAATATTTTGAAAAGAAGGTTGACGACATCCGATCCTCATTTATTAAGTCAAATGACACTGCTGGTCCTGCTCACACTGCCCTACCCTATGCTTTGACTTCTTTCTCCCCTCTCTCTCCAGACCATTTCCGGAGACCTTCTCTCTTACATCACCTCGCTCATCAACTCATCCTTGACCGCTGGCCATGTCCCTTCCGTCTTCAAGAGAGCGAGAGTTGCACCCCTTCTCAAAAAACCTACACTCGATCCCTCCGATGTCAACAACTACAGACCAGTATCCCTTCTTTCTTTTCTCTCCAAAACTCTTGAGCGTGCCGTCTCTAGCCAACTCTCCTGCTATCTCTCTCAGAATTACCTTCTTGATCCAAACCAGTCAGGTTTCAAGACTGGTCATTCAACTGAGACTGCTCTTCTCTGTGTCACGGAGGCTCTCCGCACTGCTAAAGCTAACTCTCTCTCCTCTGCTCTTATCCTTCTAGACCTATCCGCTGCCTTTGATACTGTGAACCATCAGATCCTCCTCTCCACCCTCTCCGAGTTGGGCATCTCCGTCGCTGCTCACTCTTGGATTGCGTCCTACCTGACAGGTCGCTCCTACCAGGTGGCGTGGCGAGAATCTGTCTCCGCACCACGTGCTCTCACCACTGATGTCCCCCAGGGCTCAGTTCTAGGTCCTCTCCTATTCTCTCTATACACCAAGTCACTTGGCTCTGTCATATCCTCACATGGTCTCTCCTATCATTGCTACGCAGACGACACACAATTAATTTTCTCCTTTCCCCCTTCTGATAACCAGGTGGCGAATCGCATCTCTGCATGTTTGGCAGACATATCAGTGTGGATGTCGGATCACCACCTCAAGCTGAACCTCGGCAAGACGGAGCTGCTCTTCCTCCTGGGGAAGGACTGCCCGCTCCATGATCTCGCCATCACGGTTGACAACTCCATTGTGTCCTCCTCCCAGAGTGCAAAGAACCTTGGCGTGACCCTGGACAACACCCTGTCGTTCTCCGCTAACATCAAAGCGGTGACCCGATCCTGCAGGTTCATGCTCTACAACATTCGCAGAGTACCCTACCTTACACAGAAAGCGGCACAGGTCGTAATCCAGGCACTTGTCATCTCCCGTCTGGATTACTGCAACTCTCTGTTGGCTGGGCTCCCTTCCTGTGCCATTAAACCCCTTCAACTTATCCAGAACGCTGCAGCCCGTCTGGTGTTCAATCTTCCCAAGTTCTCTCATGTCACCCCGCTCCTCTGCACACTCCACTGGCTTCCAGTTGAGGCTCGCATCTACTACAAGACCATGGTGCTTGCCTACGGAGCTGTGAGGGGAACGGCACCTCCTTACCTTCAGGCTCTGATCAGACCCTACACCCAAACGAGGGCACTACATTCATCCACCTCTGGCCTGCTAGCTCCCCTACCTCTACGGAAGCACAGTTCCCGCTCAGCCCAGTCAAAGCTATTCGCTGCTCCGGCACCCCAATGGTGGAACAAGCTCCCCCACGACGCCAGGACAGCGGAGTCACTGACCACCTTCCGGAGACACTTGAAACCCTATCTCTTTAAGGAATACCTGGAATAGTATAAAGTAATCCTTCTTCCCCCACCCCCCATAAAAAAAAAGGTGATTGTCCCACTGGCTATCATAAGTTGAATGCACCAATTTATAAGTCGCTCTGGATAAGAGCGTCTGCTAAATGATGTAAATGTAAATGTAATATCCAGAGTTACACTGATAAACCACCCCAGAGCCCATCCTGGTGCTCTGATTCCACAACATTACTGAGTGAGGGAGGGCAAGGGGCAAGCCACAGTCAACCTCTGGGAGGCAAAGCAATGACATTGACCAGTAACCATTCCTAGATGCAGTTCATGATTTAAAAAAATCTCTACAAACAAAACACTCATCCATCCACATGTCAAATACATGAATTAATGCAAAAGTTCACCAAAAAACATTTACCTTCACAAATAAGACTTGGGCCCTTCCACACACTTTCTGCCCCACAAACGGAGGAGTTCTCTCCGCTTTTCCAGAAGAATCCCTCAGAGCAGCCAAATTTAGCTACGCTGCCGTAACGTGTTCCTGTGGCTGACAGCTGGACTGCATTCAGAGCCGAGGGAGGCTGTCCACAATCAATGGCTACACATGGAGAAAAGGACAACACTACAGATACCATACTTTTTGATAACACTACTAGCATTATGCTAATGTTCTATAAATAATGTCATTATATCCAGTGGCTGCAGTATAGTATAGGGCAGGCAAAGAGATTCTGAAACATGTATTTTTGAAGCATACAGCTCTTTGATTATTATCCATTCTCTTAAAATAGTATCTATAATTTAACTGAAAAGTCTTACAATACTGAGCCCTAGTAGTTTGTGTTATTTACCTTTGCACAAGGCCTTGTCCTGGTGTGGGTGGAAGGGCTCTGCTCCATTGTGAACCTGGTATCCGACTTGGCAGAGGCAGTTAAAATCCCCCTGCATGTTCCTGCACTGACCCCCCTCACCACAGATCCCTTGGACCCTACACTCATCAATGTCTAGATAGAACCAACAAGAATGTTGTGTTAGTATTATTAAGTTAATGTGGTTGGGATGTAATGTACCCAGTTATTAGGCACCAACATCTGGGGAGTGGTATCTGTAATTCTTTCATTCATTCACTCATTCAAAATTGGCATCAAGTTTGTATCTATAAAGCTTAAGAAGACTCACCAATTGTATAATTTTATGTTGCCCTTCTTTTCATAATGTTCCAAAGCTGCTGAAGTATTCAGCATCACTAATCGCTATAACTTACCCTGACAGCGGGTTCCATCATTGGGGATGAAGATGGCCATATTGTTGGAAGGGCTGTATCCTGCCAGGCAGGTGCAGTAGTAGCTTCCATAGGTATTATGGCAGGCAGTGTGCTGCCCACAGATCTTATTGGCTCCTATCTGACACTCATCTTTGTCTGTAAGAGAGAAGAATAGTGGTAAATAATAGAATAATCAATAAATACTAGTATAATTTCAATAGAACTGATACCCATTAGCTAAAAGATAAGTAATTATTTTATCTTGAGTTTATACCTGGAGATACACACCTTGACAGTAAGTTCTTCCATTACCAACAAAGCCATACATGCAGTTACAGGCTTTGCCGGCACCATCCACCTTCTTCTCACAGGTGGCGTTAGGGTGACAGGTGGCACACACATCCAACGTTTGACCAGTCACTCGCATTTCTAAGATAAAGAAAATATACACTATTAAGAGAAGTCTTTGTTTGTTGAAACAGTCACCCATAAATGTTATTTATTGAAATAGATGATCTATGTAGTACAAGAACTTCACTATTATGATTTACAAAGACTCTGTCAATATTCATTTGAATATATTACCAATATGATGGATTTGTTTTGATCCACTCACCTGTAATGGCATGAATAAGAAAGGCCAAGATCACAAGTGCTGTTCTCCAATACATCCTCTCAAAGTATGTCCCTCTCCCTCTCTTAGACATTGCAAAGCGCATCCTTTTTATCCACATCTTTATTTATTTCCGTCTTGGTGCTGAGCGGATTTGATAACCAGGATTGAGAGAAGGGTATAAGAGTTAGTTGAGGTCACAATGAAATCCAACCGCCGCTCTCTCTTCTCAATGGTGATGTTGGCACTAGTGGTTTGGAGACATGTCTGTCATCATCAGCATTTTGACACATTCAGTTATACTTCACATATGTGATAATGTACTCTACGCTTTGGGAGACATCTGAAACACATTTTCAAATTGAACAGTCATGCTGTGTATGCTGATAAGAGCTATATTTGGCTCAGCAAACCTGCCTGGGGTTCATCATGAACATAACATTATGAATTAAAGAAGTCAAAACGAGGTAAATAAACAGTTTAGATGATAACCATGGATATAAGAATGACATTAACAATTGGTGATATACAATTCATAAAAGTAAATTAATCTTCAAAGAGTAGGCCGGCCTACTTGTTTATACATCCTACCTTTTCCTGAATCGATTTTATCCAGTGTTTGTGAGACCCATCATAACTACAATCCACGCTAGGGGCTCTGTCACATGAATTAAATGAAAACCCTGCTATGAAAATGCACAAAAAAAGGTGTGAAATTGCACCAATGGTGTCAACACAGTGAGAACACCCATCCACCATTGAGCTGTTTACAGTTGGTTCTTGCGTAGCGAGTTAATCTAGTATAATGTGGAAGGGGAAGATAAATCCATCATGCTGCTATCGCCCAGCCCACCAGGACTCAGAGGGGGTCTCCCTCTATCACACCCGCAGTGAGCCCCCACCTCACACTGCGCCTGCTGGAGAGGCCTGATTAAGCACCAGCCTGTCCCTCAAAACCACCAGATCCTCTCTAACACGCTACACTAGGGTCTCTCCACCAGCAGCATATATGAGGATGCAACATACAGTAACACAACATTGTAACTAGATAGACATAGAATGTCTAGAGCAGGCATTGGTCTCTATTTAGGGGTTCACAATGAAGCTGTGAAACCCATTGTTATTCTCTGTATTCTGGTCATGGTCAAATAACTCAAGCATAGATTGGTAACTTTTTCTAACTTGGCACACAGAAACTACAGGCCATGAGTAACTTGGTCAAAAAGAATGGCACTGATTGGCCTATAGGTGGCGCTGTTATAAGCAGTCTCACTTAAACCCTCATATCCGTCGCCCTGTTTGACCTAGAAACTTGAAACGTTGCATGTAGGTGTCTTGCTGAACAAATTTGCCTCAAGGACCTATAAGGTCAGGATAGATTTTCCTCCATCTTGGAAATTTCAGAAAACATTTTAAAAAATGATCATGAAACATAAGTCCATTTAACAAGTCCAAATGTAGGCCCATGGTACATCTCTTAACGTAGATTGAGAAAAGGAAATCAGATTTTACGTGTCCATTTCAATCCTTCATAAATTCATTCCACAATGGCTCATCAACTTGAAACTTTTTAGGGTCATCAAATCCATTACCATGATGAACCATGTTAAGTTGGCATTGATATCTTAACATATAAGAAAACTATTAACAATTCACTTTTTTGGACTATGTAACGCTAATGCTCAAAATAATCATAATAACATCTTCTTAACCCACTGTTCCCCGGGCGCCGATGACGTGGATGTCGATTAAGGCAGCCCTCCGCACCTCTCTGATTCAGAGGGGTTGGGTTAAATGCGGAAGACACATTTCAGTTGAATGCATTCAGTTGTACAGCTGACTAGGTATCCCCCTTTACCTTTCCTTTCTTCTCATGGACTAAATGGCAGATTCACTCCAAATTTCAATAGTCCCTAAAGAGTTTGAGAAGATAACGTTGATGCATTCAAAGATGGCCGCACTATACCAGTAGATGCCTATTACCACATAAGCTAATCTGCTAAAATCTGCTAATAAAAACTTATAAAATCTTCTTCTCATGACCCATAGGACCAAATGACACAATGTTTGGAATGTAGGCCTATGGTACATGTCTTAACTTAGTTTGAGAAAGGGATTGGTCAAAAGATGACTTGGTTATTGATAAATCAAAAATCTGATTTTATTTGTCAATTTAAACCACTGTAAATCCACTCCACAGTGGCCTATCAACTTGAAACTTGTCATCGCTATCATGGACGTCCCTAAGATGAACCACATGGAATTGGATATTGATATCTAAAAAAAACAAGGAAACTATTCACAACTCATTCTTTGCATATGTAACGCTAATGCTCAAAATTATCTGTAACCATTTTCTCCTCACAAGCCTTTCTGGTTTTGAGAAAAGAATTGTTGCTGCATTCAAATATGGCCGCACTGTACCTATAGATGCACGTTAGCGCATATGATAATACCAAAAATACTTTTAAAATCTTCTTCTCATGAACCATAAGTCAAATTGACTCCAGATTTGGTATATAGACTCTGCTGGTGACCTTGCACAGACCTCGTCTCTGGGAGTGGGCACCATTCTCCATGGTGCGGACATCACCAGGGTAGACCTCATACACCACCTTCACCTTCTGGCCGTCACCGTAAACTGTCAAGCTGCTTCCATCAAGCTTCCTCTGGCCCTCCGCCACTGGAGAGGAGAGGTGGATGGTGCTGGTCTTACTTTTTCTTTGTTTCTTCATGCACTTCTCTGAGGTGCACTGCACTGAAATAACAAAGGAAATGATCATCACCACACAGGAGTGTGTGAAATAGTAGTCATCATGACAAACTCAGTGGTACAAAGAGGGAACATGCTTCCATTTAGTATTGGCCTTTTAAGATAAATAAATGAAGTGAGTTCTTTCAAAATAACTGGACTTCCCATAGGCTCTAAACCCTTTCAGGAGAGAACAGCGTGGATATTCTCCCTTTAAGTGAGTAACTAAAATTAGCAGCTCCATAAGACACTACCTTGCCACATGCACGTATGCGCCCACACACACACACGCGCACGCACGCAAGCACGCACGCACGCACGCACACACACATTGCGAGCAGTTTTTAGTAAGAGCGACTTCTGTACATTTTAGAGTGGCCTTTTATTGTCCCCAGCACAAGGTGCACCTGTGTAATAATCATGCTGTTTAATCAGCTTCTTGATATGCCACACCTGTCAGGTGGATGGGTTATCTTGTCAATGGAGAGATGCTCACTAACAAATTTCTGCACAAAATTGGAGAGAAATAAGCTTTTTGTGTGTATGGAAAAATTCTGGGATCTTTTATTTCAGCTCATGAAACATGGGACCAACACTTTACATGTTGCGTTTATATACATGTGCTTGCACCCCTATTTTGAAAGTGGGGATGCAGTTGCTCCATTGCTCAGGCACCTATGGTCTTGCCCATTCATCCTCTGAATGGCACACATACACAAGTCATGTCTCAATTGTCTCAAGGCTTAAAAATCATTATTTAACCTGTCTCCTCCCCTTCATCTACACTGATTTAAGTGGATTTAACAAGTGACATAAGGGATCATAGCTTTCACCTGAACACTTTACATGTTGTGTTTATATTTTTGGTCGGTGTAGTTTATCCCCTAAAATTAGCTTGTTAAGTAGCCATATTGACGTGATCTGTTATTAGCTGGCTAGCCAATTTGACGTGGTCCATCAATCAATATTGCCTATCATGTCTGTCTGCAGCAACTGTGATTACTATGTTGAAAAGGGGATAATGTTAGCTAACATCGCTAGGTAAGCCTACGTTGGTTGGAGAAAAAAGTACAGTAGGTCTACTTACCACTATGTTTAGCCAACTGTACAAAGTTTCTACCAGTAGCTTGCAAAGTAAACATCATCAGCAAGTACTTCAGCAAATGCGCCCTTCTGCTACTTGACAGGCAGAGCCCACCATTCATACTTGTCAGGTATAGTTGACTTTGATATCACTTAAATATCCAATTAATGGTGGCCAATATTGAGAGATATCGTGAGGCTACCCTAACGTATCTGAAATGACATGATCAATTGATAAAAGCGTCTGCTAAATGGCATATTATTATTATATTATTATTATTATTATTATTATGTTTACTGATCATGAAAAGCATGCATTTACTTGCTGTATAAATCTGACAGAGCTAAATGTGCGCAATAGTTTTGCATGGAATAATCGGACGTTTGTAGATCTGACTATGTTCTTCAAGAGGTTATGATATTCAGTGGTGTAAAGTACATAAGTAAAAATACTTTAAAGTACTACTTAACTAGTTTTTTGGGTTATCTGTACTTTACTTTACTATTTATATTTTTGACAACTTTTACTTCACTACATTCCTAAAGAAAATAATGTACTTTTGACTCCATACATTTCCCCTGACACCCAAAAGTATTTGTTACATTTCGTATGCTTAGCATTACAGGAAAATGGTCCAATTCACACTTATGAAGAGAACATCCCTCATCCCTACTGCCTCTGATCTGACAGACTCCCTAAACACACATGCTTCTTTTGTAAATGGTGTTGGTGTGCCCCTGGCTATCCATAAATAAATAAATAAAAGAAAATGGTGCCTTCCCGTTTACTTAATAGGAATTTGAAAATATGTATACTTTTACTTTTGATACTTAAGTATATTTTAGCAATTACATTTACATTTGATATTAAAACCAAATACTTTTAGACTTTTACTCAAGTAATATTTTAATGGAAGACTTTCACTTTTACTTGAGTCATTTTCTATTAAGGTATCTATACTTTTACTAAAGTATGACAATTGGGTACTTTTTCCACCACTGATGATATTACAACCAAATAGTTAACATTTATTTTAAAATCCCTTGAAAACGGCAAGCAGTTGCCAATTGTTTTAGTGGAGCTGGGGGTCTCCTTGCCCCCCAGCAGGCAACTGGAACGCTCTGCACCTTATTACAACATTTTATTGATAACAACCTATAAACATCGATGAGTACAAATTTGCAGTGGTCGAGGGGTAAATGGATAAATAATGAAAATTTGATTTTAAATTACACAATTATTGCATTATATTGTTGGGGGTATGCTGTGAAAAAGAGCTTGGTTGGTAGCAGTTTTTGACATTGCACATACAGTACAGTAGATGAACAATAGGTTCTACTATCCTGCTATCCACAGAAAATAGTGTTAAGTCACAACCACATGTTAAAGCGTCACTGAGTTTTCTGGCTTGCATTTCATGATAGAACCAGTTGCACAAAGTCTGATTGTGTTTAACTAAATGAAAGCTAATTTGCTTAATTTCACAATGGAATTTAGATTATTTTTCATTTGGGACATTTCTTACAGTGCATTCGGAAAGTATTATGATCCCTTGACTTTTTCCACATTTTGTTACGTTACAGCCTTATTCTAAAATTGATTCAATTAATTATTTCCCTCATCAATCAATTTTCCTCATTTTTGTTTTAGTCATTTAGCAGACACTCTTATCCAGAGCGACTTACAGTTAAGTGAGTGCATACATTTTTCATACTGGCCCCCGTGAGAATCGAACCCACAACCCTGGCGTTGCAAGCGCCATGCTCTACCAACTGAGCTACATGTTTGCTAATTTATATATATTTTTAAAGAATTCAGACCCTTTGCTATGAGACTCGAAATTGAGCTCAGGTGCATCCTGTTTCCAGTGACCATCCTTTAGATGTTTCTACAGCTTGATTGCAGTCCACCTGTGGTAAATTCAATTGATTGGACATGATTTGGAAAGGCACCCACCTGTCTATATAAGGTCCCACAGTTGACAGTGCATGTCAGAGCAAAAATCAAGCCATGAGGTCGAAGGAATTGTCTGTAGAGCTCTGAGACAGGATTATGTCGAGGCACAGATCTGGGGAAGGGTACCAAAAAATGTCTGCAGCATTGAAGGTCCCCAAGAAAACAGTGGCCTCCATCATTGTTAAATGGAACAAGTTTGGAACCACCAAGACTCTTCCTAGAGCTGGCCACCCGGCCAAACTGAGCAATCGGGGGAGAAGGGCCTTGGTCAGGGAGGTGACCAAGAACCCAATGGTCACTCTGACAGAGCTCCAGAGTTCCTCTGTGGAGATGGAAGAACCTTCCAGAAGGACAACCATATCTGCAGCACTCCACCAATCAGGCTTTTATTGTAGAGTGGTCAGACGGAAGCCACTCCTCAGTAAAAGGCACATGACAGCCCACTTGGAATTTGCCAAAAGGCACCTAAACACTCAAACCATAAGAAACAAGATTCTCTGGTCTGATGAAACCAAGATTGAACACTTTGGCCTGAATGCAAAGCATCACTTCTGGAGGAAACCTGGCACCATCCCTACGGTGGAGCATGGTGGTGGCAGCATCATGCTGTGGGGATGTTTTTCAGCGGCAGGGACTGGGAGACTAGTCAGGATCGAGGGAAAGATGAACGGAGCAAAGTACAGAGAGATCCTTGATGAAAACCTGCTCAGGACCTCAGACTGGGGCGAAGGTTCACCTTCCAACAGGACAACAACCCTAAGCACACAGCCAAGACAATGCAGGAGTGGCTTCGGGACAAGACTCAATGTCCTTGAGTGGCCCAGCCAGAGCCCGGACTTGAACCTGATTGAACATCTCTGGAGAGACCTGAAAATAGCTGTGCAGCGACGTTCCCCATCCAACCTGACAGAGCTTGAGAGGATCTGCACAGAAGAATTGGAGAAACTCCCCAAATAGAGGTGTGCCAAGCTTGTAGCGTCATACCCAAGAAGACTCGAGGCTGTAGTCGCTGCCAAATGTGCTTTAACAAAGTGAAGTTTCTGAATACTTGTGTAAATTATGTTTTTTATTTTTAGTACATTTCCAAAAATGTCTAAAAACCTGGTTTTTGCTTTGTCATTGTTGGGTATTGTGTGTAGATGGGGGGAGGGGGGGGGGGGGGTAACAATTTAATCAATTTTAGAATAAGGCTGTAACATAACAAAATGTGGAAAAAGTCAAGGGGTCAGAATACTTTCCGAATGCACTGTACCTTTAAAATACTGGATTCTCATGTTCATATGTCCTTGAATAGTTCCAGAATCCATTCACCTGTCTCTACATGATGATGGATGAGAGGTGTAAATGCTGCTTTGTGGTTACTGAGTCGGGAACAAGAAAATGTGGAATTAGGTGTAATTTCATTGCAACAAAAAAACATAAGTATGATTCATTCAAAGCTTTGCTGTACAGCATACTAATATGTAGTAAGACGAAACATGCCATTAGGTTCACTACCATGAAGTTATATGTATGATTTTCTGTTTCCTTAGTCATATTCAACAACAATCACAGAGCAATGTTTCCAGCATGTACAAAAGCTGCAGGCAAAGTTAATAAAGAAAACAATTTTTTACCAAAAGTTGTGTAGTCCTCTGTTGTGCAGTCATCCTTCTTCAAAATGATAGCGGGTTACAGTAATGTAAATCACGTCACATCACATGTGGGACGTATTGGCAGGATTTCATCAGTGGGCAGTCAGACTGTAAATATTGTCAGGCGCTGTTCAGTTATCCAGTGATATGAAGGTCTTCAAACAGAGATGCTTTTCTTCACAACCCCCTCCTTCCCTCAAACACTGGAGAAAACATATACAGTGGGGAAAAAAAGTATTTAGTCAGCCACCAATTGAGAGGCCTGTAATTTTCATCATAGGTACACGTCAACTATGACAGACAAAATGAGAAGAAAAAAAATCCAGAAAATCACATTGTAGGATTTTTAATGAATTTATTTGCAAATTATGGTGGAAAATAAGTATTTGGCAAATAACAAAAGTTTCTCAATACTTTGTTATATACCCTTTGTTGGCAATGACACAGGTCAAACGTTTTCTGTAAGTCTTCACAAGGTTTTCACACACTGTTGCTGGTATTTTGGCCCATTCCTCCATGCAGATCTCCTCTAGAGCAGTGATGTTTTGGGGCTGTCGCTGGGCAACACAGACTTTCAACTCGCTCCAAAGATTTTCTATGGGGTTGAGATCTGGAGACTGGCTAGGCCACTCCAGGACCTTGAAATGCTTCTTACGAAGCCACTCCTTCATTGCCCGGACGGTGTGTTTGGGATCATTGTCATGCTGAAAGACCCAGCCACGTTTCATCTTCAATGCCCTTGCTGATGGAAGGAGGTTTTCACTCAAAATCTCACGATACATGGCCCCATTCATTCTTTCCTTTACACGGATCAGTCGTCCTGGTCCCTTTGCAGAAAAACAGCCCCAAAGCATGATGTTTCCACCCCCATGCTTCACAGTAGGTATGGTGTTCTTTGGATGCAACTCAGCATTCTTTGTCCTCCAAACACGACGAGTTGAGTTTTTACCAAAAAGTTATATTTTGGTTTCATCTGACCATATGACATTCTCCCAATCCTCTTCTGGATCATCCAAATGCACTCTAGCAAACTTCAGACGGGCCTGGACATGTACTGGCTTAAGCAGGGGGACACGTCTGGCACTGAAGGATTTGAGTCCCTGGCGGCGTAGTGTGTTACTGATGGTAGGCTTTGTTACTTTGGTCCCAGCTCTCTGCAGGTCATTCACTAGGTCCCCCCGTGTGGTTCTGGGATTTTTGCTCACCGTTCTTGTGATCATTTTGAACCCACGGGGTGAGATCTTGCGTGGAGCCCCAGATCGAGGGAGATTATCAGTGGTCTTGTATGTCTTCCATTTCCTAATAATTGCTCCCACAGTTGATTTCTTCAAACCAAGCTGCTTACCTATTGCAGATTCAGTCTTCCCAGCCTGGTGCAGGTCTACAATTTTGTTTCTGGTGTCCTTTGACAGCTCTTTGGTCTTGGCCATAGTGGAGTTTGGAGTGTGACTGTTTGAGGTTGTGGACAGGTGTCTTTTATACTGATAACAAGTTCAAACAGGTGCCATTAATACAGGTAACGAGTGGAGGACAGAGGAGCCTCTTAAATAAGAAGTTACAGGTCTGTGAGAGCCAGAAATCTTGCTTGTTTGTAGGTGACCAAATTCTTATTTTCCACCATAATTTGCAAGTAAATTCATAAAAAATCCTACAATGTGATTTACTGGAATTTATTTTCTCAATTTGTCTGTCATAGTTGACGTGTACCTATGATGAAAATTACAGGCCTCTCTCATCTTTTTAAGTGGGAGAACTTGCACAATTGGTGGCTGACTAAATACTTTTTCACCCCACTGTTCACTCTGTGCAATGAGAGGCAGTCATGGGATGCTCTTTTGATTACACAACCACCACATACAGTAAGGCCGAAGACATCTGAGCTTCTGATCACATGATTTAAGGTGGCATAACATGGAATTTCCAACTCTACAACAGCAGAATTACATCTCTATGGGCATGCAAACAATATAATGATTTTACTTCACCTAATACACTCACAATAAAGATGATTTTTTCACCACATGAACTGAAACTACAATTCATTTGTTATTTAACATTTAACTCCTAGGCAGAATCTAATCACCCATCTCTGAAGTTTGGCTAGAGTAGATACTGACATTAAACATTAGGTATAGTTTAATTCATGGATCTCTACAAAGCATTTCAGTGAACAATACTGTTTATGTTCCTCTACATATTTCCCGTCTACACCTCAGGGAGAACATGTTAGGAACAGTCTCCCCCTCTAAGAAACATCACACTAGTGATGGCTTTTTTCTGGCCACTCTGTGGAGTGTACGGCTTAAAATGGTCCTATGGACAGATACTACAATCTCCGCTGTGGAGCTTTGCAGCTCCTTCAGGGTTATCTTTGGTCTCTTTGTTGCCTCTCTGATTAATGCCCTCCTTGCCTGGTCCGTGAGTTTTGGTGGGCGGCCCTCTCTTGGCAGGTTTGTTGTTATCTCCCGTGTGGCGCAGTGGTCTAAAGCACTGCATTGCAGTGCTAGCTGTGCCACTAGAGATCCTGGTTTGAATCCAGGCTCTGTCGTAGCCGGCTGCAAACGGGAGACCCATGGGGTGGCGCACAATTGGCCCAGCGTCGTCCAGGGTAGGGGAGGGAATGGCCGGCAGGGATGTAGCTCAGTTGGTAGAGCATGGCGTTTGCAACACCAGGGTTGTGGGTTCGATTCCCACGGGGGGCCAGTATAAAAAATAATGTATGCACTCACTAACTGTAAGTCGCTCTGGATAAGAGCGTCTGCTAAATGACTAAAATGGTGCCATATTCTTTCCACTTTTTAATAATGGATTTAATTGGTGCTCCTTGGGATGTTCAAAGTTTCAGATATTTTTTTATAACCCAACCTTGATCTGTACTTCTCCACAACTTTGTCCCTGACCTGTTTGGAGCGCTCCTTGGTCTTCATGGTGCCACTTGCTTAGTGGTGTTGCAGACTCTGGGGCCTTTCAGAACAGGTGTATATATACTGAGATCATGTGACAGATCATGTGACACTTAGATTGCACACAGGTGGACTTTATTTAACTAATTATGTGACTTCTGAAGGTAATTGGTTGCACCAGATCTTATTTAGATAACTTTTCCGTTATTATTTTTTTAATTTCACTTCACCAATATAGGACTATTTTGTGTATGTCCATTACATGAAATCCAAATAAAAATCAATTTAAATTACAGGTTGTAATGCAACAAAATAGGAAAAACGCCAAGGGAGATTAATACTTTTGCAAGGCACTGTAGTAGCATTAGAGAGTTGTAGAGGACACAGAAAATGCCTTAAGACCGCAGTTCTTGTTTGATGTAAATATCTATTCTAGAGGGTAGCAGTTTTGGGGTACTTTGGATCGAAGATACATTTGTGTAAATCATCTGCTGGACCATGAAGCCTATGCCGTACTGACTATGATGCCACATAATGGCAAAGATGGATGTCATCCATGAATAATTACACAATAATACCCTTATTATTACGACTTTCATCTACATGATGTTTATACAATGTCATGTCATAACTGATAATCTTCAAGCTGGAATCATTAATGGTGAAACAGCCACATCCATTTGCAATATTACAACAACAAAGAAGGTACTGCAAACAACAAACACTGTTTTTTTCACCTCTGACATCTTTTAACACATAATAGAAGAGCACAATATGTACTGCAATTTTTTTTATCATGCTACATGATGCTCCTCATCTCGGCAACAAAAACAATAACAACGGTGCTGGGGTGGCCATTGGCGCTGTTTTCATCTTTAATTCACATCCTCTACAGTAGTCCTGCAGATTTGTCCCTTGATGTGAGGTATCTTCCTCCCGTATTGCTCCATTTGGAAGCTAACACACTTGGAAGAGGACTGCACTCCCACACTCTCACAAAATTTGATGGTCACTTTTCCTGCTACCAACAATGGCTCCTTGAACTGGGCGGTGACAGAGATGGGGGCTCTAATGGCATCAACTCCTGTGGAATCAATGGATGTTTGGAAAATATAAATCAAGGTGATAGATTGAGGATAAATAGAATATGTACAGCAACAACAAAAAAATACTATACTGTTTGAGGCAGCATAATTTTGCTTATAAATAATTCAGTATTGAGGTAGAATCACTAGAATAAAAAGCTACTGTACCTTTGTGCTTTTCAATTTCAGCCAAGCATTTAGACAGCATCCATAGACCAGGAGTTTGGGTACATCTGTAGCCCGAGAGTTTAGCAGGAATAGTTAGGAGACAATGTGGAGAGTAGTCAGAGAAAGCCCACACAGACTTTAGTCCTGTAGTCCAGGGAACATTGATATCCACAGCCTTCATGATGTCATCTGACTCTGATGTGTCCAAGTGCCCTGTCAAAGTGTAAGAAAATATATTGGTTTATGATGTGGGTCCAGTTGTTCTGTGCTGTTCAAACTTGAATAGAACAATTTTGTTCAACTTCCTCAGCTTTGTTGACTGGTGGCAAAGTTTAGAATGAATTAACTTAAGTATTGGTCTACTCACCATCATACCACTCAGGTATAGGTTGTGTGCTTGGTGTTCGGCCTCTGTCCTGGGAGAGCATTGTCAAAACGCTCTCCCATACTGGCTGGTCAGTGCGTGAAATGGCAGTTAGAGAAATGTCAACCTCCACCCCATCTTCAACGACCCTGTACTCCAACACACGAGCCTGCAACATGAAGGGTCCCTTCTTCAGCTCATCTATTGGCTGCCATGTTCTCAAACTCTGACGTACCCGGACAAGACCTAAGGAAACAATGCACTGAAGTGGGGGGATTTTGTTTGAACTTCACATCTGGCTGAATTGAATTAATATATTCTACAGAAATTTAGGAAGAAAACAGAGTACCTTGTGTGTTAACATTTGGATGGCCTTCAAAGACATGAGGTACGAAATCTCCATGCAAGACCCAGCCAGTAGAGGATGTGTTACTTACCCAGAGGGCTCAATCTGAACTTCTCATCAGATATTAATATGTCAAGCATCCGCAGACAGAGGGTCTCTGGGTAACACAGAGGGATATCCCTGAACTCAATGTCTGGGTAGTCCCAGCCATATCCAGCAGCATTACAGAACCTCCTCAGTAGATCCTTGTTGAACCTTTGAGAGAAAAAAGTACAGCACATTGGAGATAATTGTCTCAAACGTGAACAAATAAACAACCATGTTAGTAAGGCAGTGTGTTGTTTGACATTTTTATAATGAAATCAAACCATAGCCCTAAAACAAATTTGACTGCTACATTGTCAAGAGCAATCAGTTTACCTGCAGTTAAAGATGGTGAAGGCAACTTCACCTTTGACATCGCTATCGCAAAAGTATAAATGCCCTTGTCTTTTGATAAGAGCTCTGAAAACATATCTGAGAAAAAGGTAGGCAAAACATGGAATCCTCTGACGACTGTCAAACACGACATTAGCTTTCAGTAGTTTATAAGAGCAATAAATGTTGGCGTAAAGAAAATATATGGCATACAATGGGAGCCCAGCAATGAAAACATTGCTCATAATATTTCCCATTTTCATGTATTACAGAGAAGCATCCACCGACTCTATTGTATTTGGTCACTAAGATGTACTGTTTTAAGGAGGGAGGCCTTCTCGGGAGAACGAGAGCTAGTTGCCCTTGTGCTGAAGTTTGCAGCTAGTTCGAGTACACTGCCATACCATTCATACACGGAAATGCAAAAAATATCGGCAGATTTGCCATCGGAAGGATTCATTTTGCATTTAATAAATATATTTCTAGTCAAGTCACTTTGGTCTCCTTACTGCACTTTCGACACTTTCAGCCATGATCAAAACGAAAGTTGTGTCGAAGTACGGAGTGCGTTTTGGTACAAAATAAATAACGTCAACATGTAATGTCGTTCGGTAATATCAGCTATTGACATGAACAAACTCAAAATGTGTTGATAGTTAAAAAATCTTTTTATTTTTTCAAATAATTCATTGAAAGTTACTTAGAAAAAGAAATACATAATTAAATTGTCTACATGAGACACAAAAGATGATATATCCCGACTTATGGTGTTTTATGTCTGTTCAAATTATGTACATTTAACATTTTGTCCAGGAAGGTGGGGGGAAAAAAACTTTTGCAACAATATAATGTTACCAGATGTTAAAAGCAACATGCATGCCATCATCAGCACTGTGATGTTTCATATTAGGAGAAAGAAAGTTTAATCGTGTGCTCAAAGTAAATTATCCTTTGACATTGTAGAAATCATCCAACAGCAACCTGCTTTGTGCTTTGGACTGCTTTGTGTAAACATAATTGACTAACAGGTGTCTTTGAAATAAACTGTGAATGGAGTAAAGGAGTAAACACTGACTGTTCTTGCATCTGAACTGTTACTTAGCCTGACCATGTAAAGTGGGAATAAATAAAAAGGAAATCAAATATAATGCTGATTCTTTGTGATACAGCAACAAGTGTGTGTGTGTGTAATCTTCGTTGTGCATGTAGGGTTTCTCCTCCAGGAGCCATGGAGACATCCCCCTGTGCCCTGAAAGTGTCTTCTCTTAGTTCAACGTCCAGATTCAGTCCAGTCTTCTCTTCAGCCAAACAGCAGCAACAACACAATGCAGACCGAATTGACAGCAATCAAGGGCACTGCAAGATGAGAGAAAATATGATGAATAATGCCACAAACCAGTCTCAGTTCAGTTAGGTCAAGATCATCAAATTGTTAGAGGAAAACAAGAATAATCTATTTTTTTTTAAACAACAGTATGCATGCAGAAAAAAAAAAGATATTTGAAAATGGTATTGATTTTTCAGTCATACCTCTCATTACTGTCCTCACAGAGCGGACAAGGTTCATTAGCTGCACTTTGATGCCTGGTTCATCACCAAATCCCCCAATACTTTGGTCCACACCCCAGCCAACTAGACAGAATAAAACAATGCAAACATTTAAATGGCCCTGGCCATAAGAGGCAGATCAACGTACCTGTAAGCTTTAACAACTCATTATACTGGTGTAGTTAGTTAGCTAATTGAGCAGTAACGCCAAATTATGCTAAAAAATATAGCTATCAACAGACTCATATCAACCAAATACATTCTTGCTTCCCTGTCTAGCTAAGTAGCTAGCTATCTATCATCAACCCATTTCAACAGACTAGCTAGCTAGCAAATCACTGTTGCAAGTGATGCTAAACAAAATGTGCAGACGGTCACTTACTTTTACTTAAAAATCTCTCTTCGTGCAATACGGCGACAGCATTTACACACAAAATCACCGCTTGAATAAGGGAATATAATGTAAACGCCATATCTGTAACCTGTTAGCTGACGTTAGCCACTTCACGTATTTACTTATGACGTTGCCTTAATGTATGGCAGCTTGAGAAGGACAAACAGAACGAGCAGTTCGAAAGCGTGACTTCCTGACAGATTAAAAAAAGTGGGTGCCCAACAGTATATGGCCAATGTAATACCAATACTGTATAATAATCCATACTCATGTCCAAAGGGGTAGCATTTTGTGACTATTGATTTAATGGTGTAAGTACTTGAAAACGTTACAGTAGAGCTAGCTAACGTTCCTGGGAGGTTATGGATGTATCTAGCCATAGACACACCATTGGATGGGTATCTCCTTCATTTGCACTTGATTTACTAGAAAGGTAAAGGCATATTTCCAGAAGTTTAATTTCTGTATATGAGAAAAGGTAAACATGAGTACACCACTGTGATCAGTGACAAACATTCTTGTTAATAAAGATGGAAAGAAACACATGGTCATCATGAGAATAAAAATCTTTATTAGTGTTTTATGAAGTCTGCATAATATGCCACACGCCTGAGAAGCTTATGGTCAGAAAAAAACCCTGCTCTATCAATAACGCCCTCTACTGGTAAAACTGTGAGAACTACTGTACTGACTGCTTTGCAAATATTTTACTGTTAAATACACACTACTGTTCTACTGTATAATGTATGTCTGGTCCACTTCAGATTTGTTATGTACTCTCTTCACATTCATATATTATAGGCCAATGGTACAAGGCTTCAACACTGGACCCTAACACATGGTTCAGTTCCCCAAATCCAAACTCACTAGTTGCACTTACAAAGTACAATCACTAGTGCCGTAAGGTTAATAGATGAATAACATCAATAAAGGAGAATGGAGAAAATAGATGTTTTAAAAAATCTTGCAACAGCCACAAAATGACAATAATGGCAGACTGCAAGCTCAGTCTTGTTGTACATACTGTATTTTATAGACAAGTACAAATACAATGCACACTAATACAGAATCTATGTGCCAGTGTGCAGTTTCATTTCTCTCTTCCTTTTGTGATGTAAGAACATGGAATACTGCCAAGTTTCTGTAACATTTAGCTAAAAAATAAATCACTTATTTTGGTTGACCACTGTTTTATGGTAGACCTTTTATCCTTTACTGAGCACCAAACGGCTTCCAGAAAGCAAATGCATTTCAAGAGTGAAGAGATGAATGAGTCTAAAGAAGTTCATACAACATGCCTCAGTCACATGACCCAACCATACATTGAAGGAAAGCAGATATCAGGTTACAGGCATTTAAGCATTGATTTGTGTACTTCTGATGCAAAGTTTTTCATTTTTTAAAGAGACAAAAACTGTCTACATTACGTGGGGCTGTTTTTCTTACCCAGGCAAGGGCTTAAATTGGAATTAGATTCAAGTTGAACCTTAAAAAACCCCACTAATGATCCATGCTCTCCATAGATTGTGAGCCATGTCACTTAAAAAGAGACAGTCTTGAACATTTTAACTTTAATAAAAAGTGAACGACAGAAAGTTTAAGTATATTTATATATAAAAATATAAAAAAAAGTAGCAAAAGAAAGGGGATATAGGCTAAAAACAATAAAGAATGAAATTCATTGATACCTTCAATTCTCTAAGTGAAATAACCTTTTAATAATTCACCTCGAGAGACCTGGACACCCAGTGACACATCAAAAAAAGCTTTTACAGCTGATATTCTCTGGTCCCTGCCAAGTTTATCCAAACCTAACAGAGCCCAGAATTCACTAGCCTGCATCTGAGGCTGTGTGTGGTCCAAATGAAACGTAGCCTACCTATAATAACATTGAAGGTGCCATATAATGACAAAGAGCTAAAATGCATGTCAACTATAGCCGGATTGATTTCGCAGCTTGTTTAGTTTTTTTTGCTAAACATTCCTATATGTCCATTAAGAGGTGTCTTACAACGACACATCTGGAATAAAAATAAAAAAAACATTCTGACAAAAGGGTAAAGAGTTAATTAGGTCAATTAAGCAATTACATTTTAAAAACATAATTGAGCATTTCCCTTCAAGGAGCAAGCGACAAAGGTAATCTTAATTTCTTAACCAAGCCAACTCTCCTGACAAAAAAAGATGGATCCATGTTTCCCAGAGAAAAGTTACTTCATGGCCAAAAAGATGGATGGATGAGTTAAACCAAAATGTATTTAGCATTCACGCTTGTGTTACTTATACAAGTATTCACCAATACTGAAAAACTATTTGTAGAATATTTTTTGGTATTTCCCCTGCCTCCAATAATTCATACCTGGACTTTAAAAATCAATTACATTTTATTTGCACCACAAATAGATCTAATATTAAGGATTTTGGGAAAAGCTATTTAACAAAGATGACAAAGATGAGTAACAAAGTGCCTAATTCTATTCTGAAAAGTCTGTCTTGCTGTGTGTGTGTGTGTGTGTGTGTGTTTAGACAGGGACGTGGAGCTAGGCCACATATACTATGAAGTATGTTATAGCAGAATTTCTGCAGCTTTTTTCATGATAGGACTCGCAAGTTAGAATTTGATGATCTTTGAGTGGCCGACATTTTGGGTCGTTTTCTAGCATTATGACATACTGGAGCAGCGTACAGAAGGGGAACCCATCTGAGTCAGCACTTTGTCCAGCCATTGCAGAGGTCCATTCAAATGCAGCTCAATCCAGCAGGGAGTGCTTGTGACAGTCTGCCGTCTAGTAGACAAAAAGACAAAAAGACAACAAAGCCAAATTGGTAAAATCGCTCGGCATGCAAGCACAGGAATGTCACCAAAAAACAAAGGTTAGCCTGAACTTTTCTGACTTCTTTCCCCATAACAGAAGTATTGTTGAAGAGGGACAAATCACGTTTGAATACCCCTCCCAACTCCTTAAACATTCCAATGTTTCTACAAATCCAGAAAAAAGGACCATTAGCAGGCTACAATGTTTAAACAAAAATGTATGCCAATGATTACATTAATATTACCGTCTTCCTCCGACTATCCATCTTCTACTAACAATGCCATTGTGTACTGCTGCAAGAATAAAAGTAATGATGTAATAAGTCGGTCATCATGCTTGCCTGTATTCAGCCCCCCAGCCTTTGACAAAGCTCATGCGGATGGTGCACATCCTGGTGAGTTGGTACACAGCCTCAAAGCCCTGGTTCACGGACTGGGCCAGCAGGGCGGCAAACTCCTGGTTGTTGAAGATCTTCAGGTTACAACCTGCAGTGGTGGAAAAAGTACCCAATTGTCATACTTGAGTAAAAGTAAAGATACCTTAACAGAATATGACTCAAGTAAAAGTCACCCAGTAAAATACTACTTGAGTAAAAGTCTAAAAGTATTTGGTTTTAAATATCAAATTTTATTTGTCACATACACATGTTTAGCAGATGTTATTGCAGGTGTAGCGAAATGCTTGTGCTTCTAGCTCCGACAGTGCAGTAATATCTAACAAGTAATATCTAACAATTTCACAACATATACCCAATACAAACAAATCTAGTAAGGAATGGAATTTAAGAATATATACATATATGGACAAGCAATGACAGAGCGGCATGGACTAAGATACAGTAGAATATTATAGAATAGAATACAGTATATACATATGAGATGAGTAGTGCAAGATATGTAAATATTATTAAAGTGACTAGTGTTCCATTTCTTAAAGTGGCCAGTGATTTCAAAAGGCAGCAGCAGCCTCTAATGTGCTAGTGATGGCTATTTAACAGTCTGATGGCCTTGAGATAGAAGCTGTTTTTCATTCTCTCGGTCCCAGCTTTGATGCACCTGTACTGACCTCGCCTTCTGGATGATAGCAGGGTGAACAGGCAGTGGCTCGGGTGTTTGATGTCCTTGATGATCTTTTTGGCCTTCCTGTGACAACGGGTGCTGTAGGTGTCTTGAAGGGCGGGTAGTTTGCCCCCGGTAATGCGTTTGGCAGATCGCACCACCGGCGGTGATACAGCCTGACAGGATGCTCTCAATTGTGCATCTGTAAAAGTTTGTGAGGGTTTTAGGTGACAAGCCACATTTCTTCAGCCTCCTGAGGTTGAAGAGGCTCTGTTGCACCTTCTTCACCACACTGTCTGCGTGGGTGGACCATTTCAGTTTGTCAGTGATGTGTACGCCAAGGAACTTGAAGCTTTCCACCTTCTCCACTGCGGTCCCGTCGATGTGGATAGGGGGGTGCACCCTCTGCTGTTTCCTGAAGTCCACGATCATCTCCTTTGTTTTTTTTGTTGATGTTGAGTGAGAGGTTATTTTCCTGGCACCACACTCCCAGAGGCCTCAACTCCTCCCTGTAGGCGGTCTCGTCATTGTTGGTAATCAAGCCTATTACTGTTGTGTCATCTGCAAACATGATGATTGAGTTGGAGGCGTGCTTGGCCACGCAGTCATGGGTGAACAGGGAGTGCAGGAGGGGGCTGAGCACGCACCCTTGTGGGGCCCCAGTGTTGAGGATCAGCGAAGTGGAGATGTTGTTTCCTACCTTCACCACCTGGGGGCAGCCCGTCAGGAAGTCCAGGACCCAGTTGCACAGAGCGGGGTTCAGACCCAGGGCCTCAAGCTTAATGATGAGCTTGGAGGGTACTATGGTGTTGAATGCTGAGCTATAGTCAATGAACAGCATTCTTACATAGGTATTCCTCTTGTCCAGATGGGATTGGGCAGTGTGTAGTGTGATGGTCTGACAAATCGGAATCCACAATATACTTAAGTATCAAAAGTAAAAAATAATTTCAAATTCCTTATATTAAGCAAATATTTTTAATTTACGGATAGTCAGGGGCACACTCCAACAGTCAGACATCATTTACAAACAAAGCATTTGTGTTTCGTGAGTCCGTCAGATCAGAGGCAGTAGGGATGACCAGGGATGATTAGTGAGTGAATTGGACAATTTTCCTGATCGGCTAAGCATTAAAAATGTAACAAGTACTTTTGGGTGTCAGGGAAATGTATACATTTTCTTTAGGAATGTAGTGAAGTAAAACTAAAAGTTGTCAAAAATAGAAATAGTAAAGTAAAGTACAGATACCCCAAAAAACTACATAAATAGTACATTAAAGTATTTTTACTTAAGTACTGTACACCATCAATACACCAAGTCACTACAAAGATACAGGCGTCCTTCCTAACTCAGTTGCCGGAGAGGAAGGAAACCGCTCAGGGATTTCACCATGAGGCCAAATGTTGCATAATCTAGGTGTGCAAAGCTCTTAGAGACTTACAGCTGTAATCGCTGCCAAAAGGTGCTTCTATAAAGTATTGACTTAGGGGTGTGAATATACAGTGGGGGGAAAAAAGTATTTAGTCAGCCACCAATTGTGCAAGTTCTCCCATTTAAAAAGATGAGAGAGGCCTGTACATTTCATCATAGGTACACGTCAACTATGACAGACAAAATGAGATTTTTTTCCCCAGACAATCACATTGTAGGATTTTTAATGAATTTATTTGCAAATTATGGTGGAAAATAAGTATTTGGTCAATAACAAAAGTTTCTCAATACTTTGTTATATACCCTTTGTTGGCAATGACACAGGTCAAACGTTTTCTGTAAGTCTTTACAAGGTTTTCACACACTGTTGCTGGTATTTTGGCCCATTCCTCCATGCAGATCTCCTCTAGAGCAGTGATGTTTTGGGGCTGTCGCTGGGCAACACGGACTTTCAACTCCCTCCAAAGATTTTCTATGGGATTGAGATCTGGAGACTGGCTAGGCCACTCCAGGACCTTGAAATGCTTCTTACGAAGCCACTTCTTCGTTGCCCGGACGGTGTGTTTGGGATCATTGTCATGCTGAAAGACCCAGCCACGTTTCATCTTCAATGCCCTTGCTGATAGAAGGAGGTTTTCACTCAAAATCTCACGATACATGGCCCCATTCATTCTTTCCTTTACACGGATCAGTCGTCCTGGTCCCTTTGCAGAAAAACAGCCCCAAAGCATGATGTTTCCACCCCCATGCTTCACAGTAGGTATGGTGTTCTTTGGATGCAACTCAGCATTCTTTGTCCTCCAAACACGACGAGTTGAGTTTTTACCAAAAAGTTATATGGAGTGGAGTTTGGAGTGTGACTGTTTGAGGTTGTGGACAGGTGTCTTTTATACTGATAACAAGTTCAAACAGGTGCCATTAATACAGGTAACGAGTGGAGGACAGAGGAGCCTCTTAAAGAAGAAGTTACAGGTCTGTGAGAGCCAGAAATCTTGCTTGTTTGTAGGTGACCAAATACTTATTTTCCACCATAATTTGCAAATAAATTCATTAAAAATCCTACAATGTGATTTTCTGGATTTTTTTCTTCTCACTTTGTCTGTCATAGTTGACGTGTACCTATGATGAAAATTACAGGCCTCTCTCATCTTTTTAAGTGGGAGAACTTGCACAATTGGTGGCTGACTAAATACTTTTTTTCCCCACTGTACTTATGTAAATGAGATATTTCTGTATTTCATTTTCAATAAATGTGCAAAAATTTCTCTAAACATGTTTGCACTTTGTCAATATGGGGTATTGTGTGTAGATGGGTGAGAATGTTTTTATTTAATCCATTTTTAATTCAGGCTATAACAACAAAATGTGGAATAAGTCAAGGGGTATGAATACTTTCTGAAGGCACTGTATATCGATTTACTCTCCTTAAATACAAGTTATCTGATTTATTCATTTCAGTCTAATTGTTTAATGAATGTTTTGCCACCATCTCCTGATATCAGGGCATAAAAACTACAATCCGTCTCCTGAATTAGTCTAATGCGCATGTGCGCCCAGCTGGCACACTAGGCCCGGGCTCATTTTCCCCTGGCTAAACTAGCTGGCTAGCTCAACAATGCTAGTTTTCGTCCTCATTGCAAAACTTCAAATACCGCAACTTCAAAACTCCTTTGCTAGTTATACAATCATATAACTAAGACATTTGCTGGAAAGAAACTTGAAAATGATGTATTGTTTTATTGAATAGTCATGACTGGTTTGAGATATCTGACGTAAGACGACGGTGGCGAAGGAAATCATTGATACTTAACGCGGATCCAAGTTCAGTTTGGAGATCCACCGGCATCATTGACGTAGGGTTAGCTGGATGTTTCTGACTGGTCTTGGAACTGTGACAAAGGGCAGCCTCTCCCCGCTTGGCTCGATGGGATATGTAGTGATTTTGCCAACACAGCCAGATATGTACACAGTCTTGTACCCTCAACCTTTTTTCAACTGACCATCGTATTTATTGATTAAATCTGACTTTATACACTACATGACCAACAGTATGTGGAACATCTCATTCCAAAAGCATGGGCATTATTATGAAGTTGGTCCCACCTTTGCTGCTATAACAGCCTCCACTATTTTGGGAAGGCTTTCCATTAGACGATCTTGCTTCCATTCAGCCACAAGAGCATTTGTGAGATCAGGCACTGATGTGAGGCGATTAGGCCTGGCTCGCTGTTCGATGGGGTTGAGGTCAGGGCTCTGTGTAGGCCAGTCAAGTTCTTCCACACCGATCGACAAACCATTTCTGTATGGACCTCGCTTTGTGCACAGGGGCATTGTCATACTGAAACAGGAAAGGGCCTTCTCCAAACTGTTACCACAAAATTGGAATCACAGAATCATCTAGAATGTCATTGTATGCTGTAGGGTTAAGATTTCCCTTCACTGGAACTAAGGGGCGTAGCCCGAACCATGAAAAACAGCCCCAGACCATTATTCCTCCTCCACCAAACTTTACAGTTGGCACTATGCATTGGGGCAGGTAGCGTTCTCCTGGCATCCTGATGGTGAAGCGTGATTCATCACTCCAGAGAACACGTTTCCACTGCTCCAGAGTCCAAAGGTGGCAAGCTTTACACCACTCCAGCCGGCGCTTCTCATTGCGCATTGGGATCTTAGGCTTGTGTGCGGCATGAAGCACCCGACGAACAGTTCTTGTGCTGACGTTACTTCGAGGCAGTTTGGAACTCGGAAGTGAGTGTGAGCTTGTGTGGTCTACCACTTCGCAGCTGAGCCGTTGTTCCTCCTAGACATTTCCATTTCACAATAACAGCACTTACTGTTGACCGGCACAGCTCTAGCAGAAATTTGACGAACAGACTTGTTGGAAAGGTGGCATCCTATGACGGTGCCACGTTGAAAGTCACTGAGCTCTTCAGTAAGACCATTCTACTGCCAATGTTTGTCATTGGAGATTGCATGGCTGTGTGCACAATTTTATACACCCGTCAGCAATGGGTGTGGCTGAAATAGCCGAATCCAGTAATTTGAAGGGGTATCCACATACTTTTGTGTATGTATGTGTATATATATATATATATATATATATATATATATATATATATATATATATATATATATATATATAGTGTATAATGAGTAATCCAGGAATGTCACAAGTTAATTGACGAGAAAACGCGAGAAAATAGCAACTCTACATATCGCTATGACTACAATGAATGGCTAAATTACTTTCGGACACTAAGGGTCCGCGGAGCTCCTCCTCACCACTCTCAAGTATTTGAATACTAACGACCGTTCGGATATTCAAATAACCGTGCCCATCCCTACTGGGCATCATGTACAGACTTTTAAAAGAAAAATCATAACAAGTAAAGCCTGCAGAACCACCCTGCTATCAATCTTATATTGGCTGTATAACCAAGTAGTAAGACTGACTAAACATGGAATAAAAACCTGAGAAAAATGATTTGTAATACTAAGTAATTATTTTAGGAATACACTGAAAATCTAAGAAATTGTGTTTGTCTAAGTTACCTGGAGGAATTTTACACACGGTTGCTGGGTGCCACCCATACCGCTGGTTGCAGTTTGGACTTTGAACAAAGATGGCGCTATCACTGAGACACTCAGCAAACACCTCACCGCCAATATAGTACAGCCTGACTCCTCTTCCTGTGGAAATAACAAAAAATAAATAAGCATGAGTATTTCTGCTACAAAACATCTGTTGTTAAATCACAGCACAATTCCTGGGCAAATCTGAATTGGCACCCTATTCCTTTTAGCCAAAGCCTTCAAAAGTAGTGCACTACATAGGAAATAGTGTGCCGTTTGTGACATAGCCCCTGTTGTACCTATATGCCTCCTGGTCATCTCCACAGTGGCATTCCTGTTGACGTTGGAGAGCAGGCCCAAACAGAAACGCTCTGAGTTGGAGGGGTCTGTGAAACCGTCCACGGTCAGAGAGGGCTGCGAGGCGTGGAAGGTCTCTCCAACACGCTGGTTCAGCTCATAGTAAGCTATAGAGCACCAGAACGCAGGCTCAGAGTAGGTCACCGGCTGCAGGTCTGGGGGGGAAAAAGTGAGATGTCCTCTGTAGCTCAATTGGTAGAGCATGGCGCTTGTAACGCCAGGGTAGTGGGTTCGATCCCCGGGACTACCCATACATAAAAATGTATGCACACATGACTAAGTCGCTTTGGATAAAAGCGTCTGCTAAATGGCATATTAATATTAATAAAAGGCATAGACCAATGATCTCCAGAGTGGGCACTGGGCTGTCTAAATTGTACTCAATGGCTGTTTACACAGGCAGTCCAATTTTGCCAAATCACATCATGTCTTTTTCAGAGCTGGTCTCATTGGTCAAAAGACAAATTACACACAAAAAAAGGGAAAAAAATAAGATTTGGCCTGCCTGTGTAAATGCAGTCAATGAGTTTGGTCACATTTTGTCAGATGATCAATTACTGGTCCTTCAGACATAGAGCAGGTGTGAAAAGACAATTCTTCTTACCCATGCTATGATTGACTGGTGAGAGGGTGCCGGGGGACAATTCAGCAGGAGAACCTGACATGGGAGAAAACAGGAAATTATAAAGTTGCATGGTCAGATTTATTGGTGCAAAGAATCTACTAAGATATTTCATCAAATCTAAACTTGGCAACAGTTTGACAACCGTTTTACTTTTGTTATTTTATGTTAGAACTTCCTATTTGAGGTAAGTGGAATATACCTGTGTCCATACTTTGATTCATCGGTTGATCGCTGGCTTCCCCATCCTCACTTATATATCCAGGTGGTGGCGTTTCTATAGTAACAGGGGAGTGAAAACACTGTTGAGCTGAAATGAATACCTCGTTATCATCAATTCTATTTGCATATCAACTCATGGTAGATGCACAAACCTGGTATGTAGTTATTTGGAGGCTCGATCCCCGCAGGAAAGTTTGTGTTCTCGGGTATGGAATGAGTGTAGTCATCCAATGGGGGCAGTTCTGTCAGAATTTCCGAGTGTCTTGGCACAAGTACAGGTGGCAGAACTAGAGGAAAGGTGGAGAGAAGATTCTTCAATGTCAAACAAAGTTCAAAAGAAGTGACATCTTTACAAAACATAATTGAAGACTATTCTAACACCACTTTTAGCCTCTCTTACAAATATATATATTTTTTATGTCTAATTCCAGAACGAAGAATGTCACAACTAGCTGTTAACATGGGCTTTGATGGCACCTACAAGTCAGCACATACACTAACGGTTCAAACGACAGCCTACCTGGGGTCTCCACCCTCTGGTAGTGGTAGGGGTTGATGCAGACCTCATCCTTCTTGAGGTGGAAGGCGTACTCGCAGGCCTCGATGGCGCGCAGTTCATGGTGGCTGTGCAGGTCGGGCCATCGCCCACAAGCGGCAGTAGATGACATGAGGAAGACCCTTTCTGTGTGAGACCTGCAGGCGCCCATCCAGGGATCTGACAGGACGGGCAATGGAGGAGATAGGTATGAAAAGTTAGTGTGGGGAAAGGAGGAAAAGGGGGAGGAATCGATAGGAGGAATAGAAGGAGATGCATGTGGCCAGGAAAACAAAAGGTGGGGGTGTGGAGAGGGGAGGTGGGGAATGATGAAGTGAGATGAGAATGAGAGGGATGAATGGAATTTGTGTTCTCAATGTCCCTCACCCCCCTGGAATGATTACTTCCCACATCAAGGTTGTACAAAAGTATGTAGCATAGGACAGTTGAGGATAGTCACCTGGTTTGGTCAGGGTAGCTGTATAGGCCTGAGGTATCCCACTGTTCTATCGTATTTGGTGTACTCAGTCCCCATATTTCAGAGCAATTGCTGTGCACAGAAAAACCAAACAACAAAACAAAACAAAAACAAAATGATAAACATGGGGCATGAGTCATTCAGAAATACCAGTATGGGTAATGTAAACATTAAAAGGCGTCTTTTATTAGAGTCATTTTCAATTAGGTATTTCATTATTTCAGTTCGGAAGTGAAAAAAAATAGCCGTCAAATAAGAGAAGCCTTTTGACAGAATAAAGAAAAACAACGGCATAAGATGGGAGTACAGTAGTATATCCACAAACAAACAGTATGCCAGACAATAAAAACATTACTACTGTGGCGTATCAAATTTTGGGAATAACTGAAACATTTCCACCACAGCTGTGTAGGTCACAAGCACTTGACTTATCTTGAGACATTTAAGTAAACACAGAAGACACAAAATGGGACTAAAAGGAAAGGAGGGCGCAACCTTGGAAAAAAGTACATTTCCAATTAACCACCCTCTATATTTCACTTTGTGATTGTAATGGACACGTAGAAAGGAATGATAAAACATAAATAACTCTAGAAATAAAATAAAAATGAAATGGGGAAATATGATGTGATAGTTGCTGCTCATACAATATCCTGACTTCAAAGCTGATATATCCTACTTCTGAAGTGGGACTGAATCTAAACTATAGGCTAAGCCCTATATATTTTGTGTTCTAAAAGCTCTGAAATTGGTTCTAAACTTCTCTCTAATATATACGCATGACATGAAGATTGGTTAGTTGCATTAAACTTTACTTTAACTTCTTTGCAAGACCATCAATTATAGGCCTAGACAATACAAGCTCTATACCAATTTACTCAGTTTCTAATAAACATACTAAACATCTGAACTGTTCTTAGCTGGTCATCATTGAATCAAAAGGTATTTTACAACACACAACATTTCCCAGAGAACATGTTCTACTCTAGGACATCAAGGTTAACTGGCTGATAAGGAATGTTCTCACCCTACACCCTCAGACAAATGTGATACAAGTACATGGCGGGAGGCTAAGTCAGTGTTTACAAAACAAACTGTTGCGCCATTTCTGAGATTCAATGGAAGACAGACAGTAGCAGCCTATAAAATGTGAAAGAATTTGGGAGTTGCTAAGACCTCTATGTATTGGGACCTTGTATGTTACATGCTGTTTAAGGAAAGATGATGCCACAAGAGGGTTAGCCGATACTAAATAATCATCTCCAGACAACATACAGGAAACTGCCAAAATAAAGGAAACACTTGAGTAAATGAGGGATTCAAAGTATATTGAAAGCAGGTAATTCCACACAGGAGTGGTTCCTGAGTTAATTATGGAATTACCATCCCATCATGCTAAGGATCATGTCTAAAAATGCCCAGTTGCGCATTATTTTGTCTACCATGGCTAGAAGAGATCTGTGACTTTGAAAGAGGGGTCTCAAAGGGGCATAGGGGGTTTAAAGGGTGGGTGGGTATGTCTCTCAGTCATCAGATCTCACCCCAATTGAACACTTACGGGAGATTCTGTAGTGACGCCTGAGACAGCATTTTCCACCACCAACAAAACACAGAATAATGGAATTTCTCATGGTAGAATGGTGTCGTATCATTCCAATAGAGTTCCAGACACTTGTAGAATCTATGCCATGGTGCACTGAAGCTGTTCTGGCGGCTCGTGATGGCCGAACGCCCTATTAAGACAGTTTGTCTGCGTTTACACAGGCAGCCCAATTCTGATCTTTATTTCACTGATTGGTGTTTCGAACATTCAGATCAGCTCTGAAAAAGATCTGATGTTATTGGTCAAAAGACCAATTAGTGAAAAATAATTGGGCTTCCTTTGTAAACGCAGCCATAATGTTGGTGGAATTGGGCTGCCTTTGTAAATGCAGCCATAATGTTGGTATTTCCTTTAATTTGGCAGTTACCTGTAGGTTTCTGATGCATGGTCAACTGTTCATTCTACAGAACCATACAACGACTGTAGGCAAACCCTAGCTCTGTGTTACCTGGCATTGGGTTACGGTTACTTACCTGGGGATGGTGACACACTTGGTGTTGCAGTTCTGGGTGGTGATGGCCTTCTCCAGCTCGTCCAGCTGTCCAGTCTTCTTCAGCTTCTTCACCAGGCTCTTGACAGCCTTCTCACACCACTTCTCCTCCTGGCCGTTCTGCTCTCCTCCCCCGGCGCCACTGCCTGACTTCTTCCACCCCAGGAGCCTCTTAACTACTGGAGGGGTGAAAGGCAAGATGGAGGACATTTTGGGTGTAGCGAGGAGTCGTCTTGAGAGAACTCAAACACACACCGAGGCAGAGGGGACCTGGAGGAAGGGAGGCACAGTTTAGCCCTTTCTCTGGTGTGGTCCCTCTGTTTCGTGAGGAATCCCAGGGCTGGAGTGAGGAGGAGCTGGATATGTGCAAAAGAGATGACACCTGAGGAGACACCTGAGGAGGTAAAATCAAAACACAGGAATTCAGTAATCAAAGTCTGAATAAAGAGATTGTGAGTGCATTCAATTGTGTGTGGGGTCCATTTCAAATTGAATGGGTGGTCTTGAAAAACGTGTTAGATAAATCCCACCATATAATCTCATCAGCAACAATTGTAGTTACATAATATATCTAATTATAGAGGCGACTCGAACACTCAGTGGATTGGATCACTAGCAGCAAGTAAACATAACATACCATTGTTTGCGAATAGACATGTAGCCACAAAAGGAACATTTCATACCAGTGTGGGTGGATGCTGTATAACACCACATATTTATTATAAAGGTGATTAGCTATCTACCGTGGTATACTGTTAAATTGATAAACTCCATTGTTGGTTAGTTTATATATTGCAGCTAGTAGCAAACTAGCTATCTCGGCTAAGGGGCTACTTAGCCCCATAGCTAGCTGATACTTTCAGGCCAGTTAGTTGATAGGCATTTTATCAGCTCTACAAATCTATTATTTTAGTTAGTTAAGTTAGCAATTGTTTACTCATAAGGTAGCAAGCCATGAAAGGCTGTGGAAATTATTGAGTACATGACTCGTATGGTGGGAATACATTATCCCCAATTCCTTTTGTTGTGAAAACAACAATTAGCTAGCTAAGGTTAGCTACCTAACTCAGGCATTCTATACAGCTAAATGACTGGTTAGCTAGCTACAATGAAACAATGGTTTGATTGAGACATACATCACCATAATTGGCAGTTACAATAACAATCATGTTTATGGTATGTTAATACTAGAAGTGATAAATAAGCAAACTAACGTTAGCTAGCTAGCCCAAATAAAAAAACGGGCTAACGTTAGCTTGCTAGCTGTCGTTAGCTAACAACATCAAAGTCGAGGGAAAATTAAAAGCATTACATTACCCTGATGATGAAGCTCACGAGCTCTTCTCTGTGTAAAGATATGTGCAATAAACAAAGTGAGAAACTCCTCAAAAACAAAGGGATACTTTTTCTTTAAAAAAAAAAAAAACTATAAATGTAGCGGCTATCTCGACGAGAAAATTGTTGCCTTTTCTCAAGTCTGATAACTAGCTAGCTGTTAAGCTTCACAAGCTATCTAGACCTGAACAAGAAACACACCCTAGCAGGCTAGCTGCATTCAGAATCTTAATCCCTCCTATCACCTGATTGGATAAAACAAGACAATCATATTACTTTCGTAGACCGGATTGGTCTAAAGCAATGTCAATCTGTATTGTTTATTTGACAGCATGGCTTGTTTTTACAATCTGTCATTTTCGGGGAGGAACTAGCCCTCCATTGTTGTTGTTTTTTGTAGAATTTGTTATAGCTGTTCATCCTTTCTCATATTCCATAAAGACTAGAGGTGAGGAAAGACATATTGAGTGTACTATAACAGGTACCGGTATCCCCTAATTTGTTAAGAAATTATGCCCAATGGGTCCACAGGAACAAATATAAGATTTCATGCAAAAATCCAGGCGAGGCCACTTTTCACAACAAGGTTGATGAGATAACGTATATTACGTTTTTGTTTCACAGTAGCAACCGAGGCCGATGTATATTTCATTCCTCACTTGAAATAATCACCAATCAAAATATCTGGGAAAATTAAAGCAGGTTTCAAAACTCTTCCTAGTACACCATACGTAAAAAAAAATTATGCATACATGACTGTAAGTCGCTTTGGATAAAAGCGTCTGCTAAATGGCATATTATATATATATTATATATGTCAGTAACCACATCGATGAAGGAAGGATGCAATTTAAAAAGTATTCCAACGGGGCTAATAACTCGTGGCTTCTTTCCGGCAGAAGCTGAATTCCTGCCTGAAAGTGATTGTGGTGCCGTGTAGCTCAGTTGGTAGAGCATGGCGCTTGCAACGCCAGGGTTGTGGGTTCGATTCCCACGGGGGGCCAGTATGCAAAAATGTATGCACTCACTAACTGTAAGTCGCTCTGGTTAAGAGCATCTGCTAAAATGTAAATTGAAGAGGCGAAGCGAGAGGGTTTATTCTGTCCAAGTATTAAGCAAGTGATGATTTTTGTATAAGGGGCAATGGGAGTGTCGAAGATAAAAATGCAATTATATTTTGATACGTGAGTCTTATTTGATCTAATAGAAGTATCGTAATCGTTAGGATATTACGAGTGTACTGATGTGTGATGCACGTGACACTTCGTAGTTGTCCCTGTTGAAATTCGAGACGGCGTAGGCCTATCTATGCATATTCATGAGGATAGCATAGTATGTCACAGTGATTCTCACACTCCATTGAATACAGGTGGTGACGTCAACACCCCTCATCGAATATTCAAAGTTATTAAAATAACGAGATGTATCCACCAATCCAAAGAGAGGAATAGGCGGGAGCTTGACAGCCTGCCGTTCTGCTCTGTGGACAACGAATTCCATTGTTAGGGCAGAGACACAAGCATCTCGTCATTATATCCAGTATCTCTGATGATAGGCAGGAGTAGAGGAGAGAAACAGGGAGTTCGATTAATCTCGCCGTGGCACCCGCGTAGGCGTGTTTTGCACCGGCTGAAAGTTGATAGCATTCGATTTGGAACCTGGCTGCCTCCAGGGGGCGATGCCGCGTTCAAAACAACTGGGAACTGGGAACTCTCCGGCTTCAGTGGGTTCAAGACAACCGGAAACTCTGAAAAAAACCGATCTCCGACTGGGAAAAATTATTTTGAAAGATCATCCAACTCGGAATTCCACATCTGATGCCGCGTTCACGTGCTAGTCGGAACTAGGAAACTCGGAAATGTTCGACTTGGTAACTGGTTGTAGGTATACACATGCCGCGTTCAACGAATCAGCAAGTCGGAAATGTCAGAGCTTTCTAGTTTTGACTAGCATCTGAACGCGGCAAGAGCTCAGACTTTCTGACCAGAAGATCACTGACGTCATGATTTGACCTCATTGTTTTCAGAGTTCCCAGTTGTCTTGAAAGCACCATGAGCCCAGCTCTGTACAAGGCGAAGTTGGCTCAAAACAAAAGTGATGTAATTAAGCACGTGTAGTAATTAGTAGGATTCTGTGTTTTTCCATACAAAAGTGATTGCTTTTGATAAAAACGTTTTATCTGCCTTCCCAATGAAAACTAGTTAGAGATCTATGTTTCTGGATGATGCACCATGCTGTCTTGTTGACAGAATAACCAAGCCATGCATATTATGCAGCGTTCAAAACAACTGGGAACTCGTAAATCTCTGACTTCCGACTTCAGTGTGTTCAAGACAACTGGGAAGTTGAAAAAAACAAAACGGTCATCCAAATTCCAAGTCAGGTACACAAGCCTCTTTCTAGTGCTCCGACCTGAAGATCACTGAGGTCATAATTTTACCTAGTTTTTTTCCCCCAGTTGTCTTGAAGGCACCTCCCTCCCCGCTTTTGCCCGATGATGTGACGGGCCTATGCTCGGTTCAACAGGGGCCAGCATAAAGAACTCCCTCACTGTAGAATACTAGGGGAGAATCTCAATTCCATATTCCTCGCGTCCTCTCTCCTCATCTCCTTCTAAAAACCCATTGGAGGAGAAGTTCAGAGGGGATGGACCTCTGGCTTTCTCATCCAATGGGTTTTGATAAAGAGGCAAAGAGTGAGGACGTGAGGAGTATGCAATTGAGGTTTTCCCATTGAAATTCTCCCACACTCTACAAATTGGCCTTCTGCTCCTCCCCCATCACTGATAGTTCAATTGGTATCACCTGGCATCATTATAAAATCCTTGACATGATCACTTATACTATTTGGGCCACTTGCATTAATCAGGCATGGCTTTCTGTTTGCTTGTGTGTATAGCAATTTTGGAAATCTCAGGTGAGATAGTTGTACCAAAATGGTTGTGAATAGTCGCCCCTCCACAGTTCACATTGCTGTATTCACTGAAAAATAATTACCTTGAATTCCCTCTAGTGTCATAGTTCAGACCATCTCATATATTTACATCTTTCACCTATAGACAGAATGAATGATTTTTGTTGTGCCCTACTTCTTCCAAACAGTTTTGAGTGCAGCAGCGCAGACCCCATTGAAATGCAACCTGGGCACCAAACCTTGCAAGGATGGATCTGAGTGTGTTCTCTACCAGCATGTGTGCGACGGAGAAGCCGACTGTAGGGATGGCTCTGATGAGGAGGACTGCACTGTCGCATGCGATAATGGTAGGGCCCTGTTTGAATACCTTTCAAATGCATCCATCATTCTTATCTATAAGTGAATGGATAGGTGAAGAAATAGTTTCCACTCCATTGCTTACATCAATTTTACTGTTAAATCAGTGATGTCCTTAAGGAAAGGGTGAATTTTAAAGTATTCGAACAGGGGCTAGGAGTTTCAAAGTAGTTATCCAAGATCTATTAAATCAAAACATTCACAATAACCTCTCTGTCCGTGCATGACATTTGAAGTGGTGTTTCATCATCCACGTAGGCCAGTTTCTGTGTGCCCATGGGAAGAAGTGCATTGACCAGAGGCAGGTGTGTGATGGTGTGGCCCAGTGTCAGGACCGCTCTGACGAGAGCGACTGCCTGAAGCCCATGGAGGGCTGTATTCACCACTGTGATGACAATACCCGCTGCCTCCCAGACACCTTCCTCTGTGACGGAGAGCGGGACTGCCTGGACGGCACTGACGAGGCCAACTGTGGTAATGCCCCCCTCAGTGTCACTATTGCCTTTAGTTGAGTTTTGAAACCACCTTATTTATGGCTTACAGAAGTTGTAAGATGTTTTTTTTATTTTTTATTTGATACTAAGGTTTAGTATTTCGCCCTCTCCCTAGATTCAGACTCTACTGATGATGACGATCTTGAAAATCATCACAATGTTGCTGAAGATGATGATGGCAACAATGGGATTACCACCTTCATGTCTGCACCAGCACCCCTCAAGTGTCCTTTTGGCACTAAACCATGCAAGGACAAGATTGAGTGTGTTCTTTACAATCATGTGTGTGATGGAGAGGCAGACTGTAACGATGGCTCAGATGAGGAAGAGTGTTCATTAGAATGTGAAAGTGGTAAGAAAATCAGAGATAATAAAAAATATATATGAACAGTAGTTTGAAGTTTTGAAAAGCCTATTCCTGCCCCTGGTTTTATTGTACAGTACAGCATGACAATACTGCTCTTTCGTGCAATACATACTTACTGTAACAACCTTTTGCACTAACTAGCATACTGGAATTTACTCGCATACACAGAACATATACACACAGAACATGGTTTCATGGATCACTGTGCATGATATGCATGTTTAGAGATCCATCTTTGAAATAGTCCTCACAGGTCACCGTTTTATCACTGTTATTGATTGCACTTAAACGGTACTGTATATTCAGGCCAGTTTCAGTGTGCCCATGGGAAGAAGTGCATTGACCAGAGGCAGGTGTGTGATGGTGTGGCCCAGTGTCAGGACCGCTCTGATGAGATGGACTGCCTGAAGCCCTTGGACGGCTGTACTCACCACTGTGACGACAAGACCCGCTGCCTCCCAGACACCTTCCTCTGTGATGGCGAGAGGGACTGCCTGGACGGCACTGATGAGGCCAACTGTGGTAAGTTTAACTCCCAAGGAACTACTAAACTGGGGCATGTTGAACTTGAAAGTCCTACAATTTTGTTACAAATTAAATTCCCCAAGCTGACCTGGCACTATTGGATCGCTGAAAGTAATTATGGTTAATACTCTAACAGCGGCACAAACCCCATACAGGGGTTTCCATTTTACCTTCACTGATCCAATCCTGTCAATTCAAGAAATGTCCCTTTTGACCCATAGCTGATGAGAGCTGCAATAGTGGGGAGTTCCGTTGCACCAGTGGTCAGTGTGTATCCGTAAGCATGCGCTGTGACGGGCATCCTGACTGTCGGGATCACTCTGACGAGGAGAGCTGCACCAAGCCCCCCCAGTGCACCACCAAGCTCCAGTGCCCACACAGCCAGGAGTGTATGCTGGAGCAGTGGGTCTGTGATGGGGAGCAGGACTGTAAAGATGGCTCTGATGAAAAGGTGGGAATATTTAGCCTGGGTGGAAGTCTGTTTCTGCTCTTGCCAACTCCTTGTTTAGCATGACAAATACATAAGGAGTTGGCAAGTGAGCGGAAACACATTGGCACCCAGGCTAGGTAATATTTGATATTTCTGCGTTTGGAGGATGTAGACGTGACTAGACAGCCTAATTCATTTGACTCCCAATTGATTTTGAATGATGTAGTAGGATACTAATATGCTTTTGCCTCGTGATACAAATCAAAACTTAGATCTAATACACACTATATTGAATTCTCTTTCAGAATTGCAAGATAGTCCAATTGAAGTGTGGGGATTTCCAGTGGGCCTGTACATCTAAGAGCCAGTGTGTTCCCAAAGCATGGAGATGTGATGGAACAAAGGACTGCGCTGATGAAAGTGATGAGGCAGGATGTGAGTATCTAGACAGTTATTCTAGCTATGTATGGTTTGTTAATTACTGGATTAGTATGTGGTGACAATTAATCTGTAATGGTGAAAAATAAAATAAAAAGCCTTTAACTGAGACGTTATTAGAAATAGACTCTGTTGGGTGTTTTTGTGTGTTTGCGCCTAGGTGGTCAGGTAGCAACATGCCCCTCTCACCAGTTTCAGTGTGGTAGTATGTGGGAGTGTTTGGACACAGCCCTGGTGTGTAACACGGTCAGAAACTGTGCTGATGGTTCTGACGAGGGTGGCGACTGCCAAGCCAAGTGTCCAGACAAAGCCCAATGTGCCCATAACTGCTACAGCACACCACAGGGAACAGTGAGTAATGGGGGGGTGGGGGGGGTTGTATAGTTTGCTACAACTACTGTTACAAAGCTTCTTGAAGTACAGTTTTCTGGCTGTCATGTTTTAGTTTTCTGAGGGTTTTTTTCCCCCTCCCATGTAGAGGTGTGGCTGTAAGGCTGGTTACCGACGCCAAGAGGACTCTGTGTCCTGTGTTGATATTGATGAGTGTGAAAGTGGTAGACCAGGTGTTTGCAGCCACTTGTGCGTCAACACCCAGGGCTCCTTCCATTGTCACTGCAACCCTGGTTACCTGCTGGAATCTGATGGCCGCCACTGCAAGATCACAGGTAAAAATAGTAAGAAATATCCAGATTTAGTGACAAATCATGGAACTTCCCTCTGCTGGATGGTGTCTCTAAATAAAAATACAAAAATTGAGGGAGAATGTGCACTAAGGTGAACTGAATTTGTGAATACAGAGTGTTGGCTGGAGAAAGTACACTCATGCATCTGACACGGTAGGCCTATACCAACCCACTTTCTTTTCCCACAGGTGAGCCCTACCTGCTGGCCTCTGTGCAGACTGAGCTGTTCCTGTTTGGGCTGAGAAGCAGCAGTCTGGATGTCCTGGTGTCCTCTGCCAAGAAAGCCATCCTGTCCCTGGACTATGACTGGAGGGATCAGAGGGTGTTCTGGGTCAGCTTGGATTCAGAGAGCATCAAGTGGTCCTCTCTAGACCAGAAAAAGAGAGGAACTCTTGTCAAAGGTTAGTATTGTGGTTAAACTGACGTTGAGAATCAGTTAAACTGTTGAGACTGTTAAATGGCACAGTTTATAAAAAACACAGGTCAGCGTTCACTTGGTGTAACTAAAATGAACATAATCGTAATCCTTTTAATCTCGCTACAGGCATCAAATCTGATTGCATTGCTGTTGACTGGGTAGGGAGAAACCTGTATTGGATTGACGGTATCGGAGGTGGTCGGATTATTGCTATTGGATTAAACTCAACCATCACAAACTCTCTGGATCACACAGTCATCCTCGACGAAGACTTTGAACAACCTCGCTCTCTGGCACTCCTGCCACAGAAGGGGCAAGTATTTTATTTTCTAGGTGTAACACAAACAGCACCCACCCAAAAACTATTTTATTCTACTGATTTTGTATACCTTTGGAGAAAGGTGATGTTGACTAGACTAATGCATGCAGCTAAACAGTCTTGGGCAGGGTCTTGCTTATTGAATTGGTTTCCACCTAGAGATGTCTAACTACTGTCCTCATGTTCTTTGTAATAGTTTGTGTATGACACACTTTCAGTAATCAATAATAAAATAACATTCATTTGGATTTAACTGCAGGATCATGTTCTGGTCAGAGATTGGTAACGAGGCGAAGATTGAGCGGGCGGGAATGGACGGGTCTGAGAGGAGAGTAGTGGTCAGTCACAGCCTCAGCTGGCCAGGCGGTCTGGCTGTGGACACACTATGGGAGAGGATCTACTGGACGGATGAGAAGCTCAGGTGCATCGGCTCAGCCAACCTGGATGGAGGAGATGTCGAGGTACTACAGAAATGTTTGCATATGACTAGATCAGACTTGTAGTGTGTTGCTGTATGCCAAGGTGCATGAAATTAAATCCACATGGGTTGGATACCATAGATCCCTCAAACTCAACTCTGGACCTTTAAGCCAGTTCCAATGCTTTTCCTCCCCCATTGTTCCCCTCTAATCACGGACTGATTTAGATGTGGGACACCAGGTGTGTGCAATTAATTATCAAGTAGAACAGGAAACCAGAAGGCTCTGGACCTCGTAGGTTAAGAGTTGAATAACCCGGGCCTAGATAAACCATATTGTGATGTCTTATCTGTTCCTTTCACTCCTAAAGCTTCTGCAGATGATGGAGACCACCAACCCTTTCTCTGTCACAGTTTTCAATGACATGCTCTACTGGTCAGACACCAAGAGGAGAACTATTCAAAGGGCTCATAAAATCACTGGAAAGAACCGCCAAGTTCTACTCAAACGACCTGGACAACCTTTTGGACTGAAAGCAAGTATATTTTCCCCCAATTTAAATGCATATTAATGCATCCATTTGGTTAATTTCACCTAAATAAGATTGCATAATTTCATGGGTTTGCTGTAATTGCACAAGGAATCTTCTTGTTCCTTTTTTGAGGATGTAAGCTTAATGATTTGGTTGTCTATCTGGGATGCAGATCATTCATCCACTTCTGCAGACAAACACTGAGCGTCCCTGTGAGAAACTTCGTTGCTCTCACCTGTGTGTGTTGGCCCCTGGCCCCAAAGGGGTCTGCAAGTGTCCCTCTGGTCTGCTCCTAGCCGAGGATGCCCTCACCTGCTCAAACCTGGTCAACTCTGCCTTCCTCTTGGTGCTGTCTCCAACTGTTGTCACACAGGTAGGACTCTGGCCACTGCAGGTTTACCCATTTCACTTCACTTGGTACTGCACTATATTCAATGCCACTAGGTACATGTTGCGTGAGTTAATCAAAAGTCTGTCCTCTCAAATGTCATTTTATTTGAATTGATTTCTATTTCAGTATACATGGCAGCTAAAAGCTGAAATGCTTTTAGGAATGCTTGGGTACCTTCACAAAAGCTGTCATAATAACCTGGGCTTTGAAAGGCTGTAGAAGCCCCGTTGACTTTCCTTGACGTTTGTGTGCAATTATTCAGGAATAAACACAAAGCTTCTCCACCATGTAATTTCACATTTATTTTGTCTAGATCTACCTGCAGACCATGCACAGTGCTGTGGGTCTGAAGAGCTGGCCAGAGCACCTTGCCCTACCTCTCCCCAACGTCAACGAGGCAGCGATGTTGGATTACACCCTGCGAGACCAGACTCTGTACTTGGCTGACTCCGGCCAATCGTCTGTAGGCCTCTTCAAGCTGAAGGAGACCGGCTTGGTGCCTCGTGGCCAGTTCCTGCAACTAAAAGGGGACACCGTCACAGCCCTAGCTCTAGACTGGATAACCCTCAGCATATACTGGAGTAGCACCAAGCAGCCGCGGCTGCAGGTCACCTCTTCCAGTGGGGAGCACACTGCTGTGTTAATTCAGGATATTGGAAGTCTGGAGTCCATAGCTCTTCACCCACTCAGTGGAAGACTCTGTTTTGCCAACTTGGCCAAGCAGGGGCAAGGTGCACAGGTGGAGTGTGCTCACATGGATGGGGTGAAGCGAGCTCAGGTGTGGAAGGATGCTCTTCAGCCCACCTCCCTGACTTTCTCCAACAAGGGCGACGAGATCTACTGGGCTGACATTGGTGAGAAACTCATTGTTTATACAGTACAAACCTTTTTTATATCTATAGAAGTGGTGGTGAGGTAATACTTTATTTTAAATGTTTATCAACAAGTCTTATGTTCCAGGTGATGGGGTGATCGGCTCAGTCAGAGTTGATGGTACTGGATACAAGGAGTTTAAGACTGGGGATGGCCTGACTGCATTTGCTCTCAGCAATGGCATGCTCCTCTGGGTGACAGACAGTGGTAACGTGGATTATTATTTCTAAACAGCTGCCTTCACTAGAATTTAGTGCCATGTTATGTCTTACTGTGGTTAGATGGCTCTGTTTAGTCATTAACCAAAGAACTAACAAGGATAATGTTGATCTTGAACCCAAAGTCCTTTCACCATAACTTTGGATTATCATGGATGGTGATTTGATAATGTACGTGTTCCTATCAAATGTTTCAGACACAACCAAAGTTTGGTATAGAGATGATCCACTGACCAAGAAGCTTTGGTTTGAGGTAAACACTGAAATTGTCAGTTTGAAGGCATACAGCAAGTCCAGCCAGATGGGTAAGAAGGACACATTTGCACACCCACCCACTACTCTATCATTTACTGAGATATGACTTTTCAACCTTTACTCTTCCTCATCCATTTCCAGGCTCCAACTTCTGCTCAGATGGGAATGGAGACTGCAGTCACTTGTGTCTGGCTCTTCCTGGTGGTAGGACCTGTAGGTGTGCCCATGACTATTGGCCAGTCAATGCCACACACTGCGCCCCAGACCAGCACTGCCCAGCTGGAAGCAGACCCTGTCTGGACGGGCACACATGCTTCCCCCTGGAGAAGTTCTGTGACGGACATCCCGACTGCCCTGACACCTCGGATGAGAACTGCGAGTCCTCTTTCCATTATCAATGCCTGGAATTAACAATGTTTCAATCTTCCCTTTCCCATTGTTATGAGCTGAAGAAAAGATGATCAAAGTTCAATTACAAAGATTTTTAGATATAACTCTGCATTCCCCAATCCTGGTCTTGGGGACCACACCTGAAGTGTTTACTCAGCATTATTTAAATCTGGTGTGTAGCGCTAAGGCAAAAACAAATGTGCACCTCTTGGGAATCGCTGTCATAATATAACCTAATTTGAATACAAAACTGTTCTGATATTCTCCATTGTGTCTCAGGTGTCTATCTCAAAGGGAAGTCTGACGTCAAGGCCAAAGGCCCAACCCAGCCTCACAGTCCCAGCTTTCCTATATCTGCAGATCCTGGCTCCACCACCACCTCTCTGGACAACAGTTGGCTGGTGAGAAACCTGGATGCCCAGCAGTGTAGTGAAAAGCGCTGTAATGGGAATGGGGAGTGTGTGGAGACAAATGGGGGCACCTCCTGTGCCTGTGGTCTAGGCTACAGTGGAGACTCCTGCCAAGACCATCTCACCAAGACTACGCAAGGCCCACTCATCTATGGGGCCATTGGTCTCTGTGCTGGGGTTGTCGTTATCAGTGTCCTCGCTGCCGTTGTCAAGAAGAGGAAGATGGCAAACACAAGGTACACCATACCAAACTGCTTGACACTGTAGGTCTTCCCCCTTAATGTTTCCACAATTCAGTTGAATTTATCAATCTATTAGATTTCTTCTCGTGCTGTTTTAGAATCCTTTCTGAAGTGTAGCCAGTGTTTGTCAAGATGGATTGAGATTAAATTCACCTTTTCCATTCCCAGGAGGGCCAACCCTGTGGCAAAGCAGACTAGTATGACTGACCTGGAGAAAGGTGAAGAGGCTCCCTCTACACAACCTTCACCCAACAGCAACTTTGCAGAGGTACAGTAGGCTGTTATACTGTATTATTTTGTTAAAGCAGTTGTTGAGAATGTCATACAAGTTGGATGTTTTGCTTCATAGTTTTGTTTTTTATTTCACAGGAAGTGGTGTCGTCTGTGGATTAACTAATTTATCAGCAGCCTCTTATTTCTATTCAATAAAATGTTTATTTTGCTACAGTTTTTTGTTTCTTTATCTACACAATCACAATTCAAATAATTTTGGTCAATGGTGATTTTAAGAGTTTAATGGGTGTTATGGGAGAACTGAGGATGGATCAACATTGTAGTTACTCCACAATACTAACCTAATTCACAGCGTCAAGGAAGCATATACAGAATAAAAAAATTCCAAAACATGCATCCTGTTTGCAAGAAGGCCCTAAAGTAATACTGCCAAAAATGTGTTATTTTTTGGGCAAATACAACATATTACTAAGTACCACTCTCCATATTTTCAAGCATAGTGGTGACTGCATCGTGGGTATGACTGGGGAGTTTTTCAGGCTGAAAAATAAACTGAATGGAGCTAAGCGCAGGCAAAATCCTGGAGGAAAACCTGGTCTGCTTTCCACCAGACACTGGGAGATGAATTCACCTTCCAGGAGGATGATGACCTTAAACACAAGGCCAAAACACGAGTTGCTTACCAAGAAGACTGAATGTTCCTGAGTGGCAGTTTTAACTTAAATCTACGTGAACATCTATGGCAAGACCTGAAAATGGTTGTCTTGCAATGATCAACAACCAATTTGACAGCGCTTGAAGGATTTGTAAAGAATAATGGGCAAATGTTGCACAATCCAGGTGTGGAAAGCTCTTCGACTTACCCAGAAAGATTCACAGCTGTAATCACTGCCAAAGGTGCTTCTACAAAGTATTGACTCGGTGTGAATACTATGTAAATTTGATCTATTACATTTTCAATACAATTGCTAACATTTCTAAAAACATGTTGTGGCGATTCTTACACAGGGTAAGTCAATCTTAAATGAATCATTGTCAGCGCGCTGGAGAGGTTCCAACAAACTTGATGCACCATTGTGAAAGTCTGTCAGGAGCTGTAACTGGGCAGTCCCGTTAAGTTCCCTTATACTGCAGACACATATTTGCATGATGTAGTTTATTCATAATTCATTGTTTGCTTCATGTGACCGACCAATACTGGGTCACACATGTGATCGACCAATACCTCACGAGGCTTCTTCTCTAAGATGAGACCTTGAAACTGATCTTTCGTTCTCAAAACAAGGGTCTGGGCATACTGCCAAATTGCAGATACAAATAGTGAGGGTTCAATCAGTCACTTGCATGAACGCAAAACTTATTAGAAAAGCACAACCATAGAACACAGAAATTGGTAAACAGAAAAGCACCAATTTTCCATCACAATGTTTTCACTTTGTCATCAGGTATTGTGTGTAGATGGGTGAGAATCTATTTTATCAATTTTGAATTTGGGCTGTAACGCAACAAAGTGTGGAATAAGTCAAGAGGTATGAATACTTTCTGAAGGCACAAATAATTATTTTTGCGTCATACCCGTGGTATATTGTCTGACATACACACTGCTGAAATGCTGGACCCAAACTACTTGGTTTATAATGACAATGTTATTTTGCACAGTATTGGCTTTACTCTTAATTAAAGACTTATGATTCTGAAATTAATTAATTTAATATGTAGCCTTGAGCTACATGGTCGCCTGGTGAATCACTGGTTTTGTCAAAGCATGTTGCATTACGTGAGAGGGAATGTGTTTTGACAGTCTTGTTTTCTATTTAATGTGCCAATAGAGATGCGTCAGTTATTACTGTTACTCATTACTCATCTACTCTCTGGATTTGGTAACCACATTTTGATATTGAACATAACCTGTGGTGAAATAAGATTATCTACAGTTTCCAAGGAAAGTATTCAGACCCCTTGACTATTTCCACATTTTGTAACATTTATAGCCTTATTCTAAAATTGATTAAATAAAAAATGTCCTCATCAATCTACACACAATACCCCATAATGACAAAGCAAAAACAGGTTTTTAGAAAATGTATTTAAAATAAAAAACATACCTTATTTACATACACTACCGGTCAAATTTTAGAACACCTACTCATTCAAGGGTTTTTCTTTTTTAAAACTATTTTCTACATTGTTGAATAATAGTGAAGACAAAACTATGAAATAACACATGGAATCATGTAGTAACCAAAAAAGTGTTAAACAAATCAATATATTTTATATTTGAGATTCTTCAAATAGCCACCCTTTGCCTTGACAGCTTTGCACACTCTCGGCATTCTCTCAACCAGCTTCACCTGGAATGCTTTTCCAACAGTCTTGAAGGAGTTCCCACATATGCTGAGCGCTTGTTGGCTGCTTTTCCTTCACTCTGCGGTCCGATTCATCCCAAACCATCTCAATTTGGTTGAGGTCGGGGGATTGTGGAGGCCAGGTAATCACTCCCACCTTTTACATCGAGGACCCTCCATTGCCATCTCGCCGCATCCACAAACCTGTCCCTCGCCGTGAATTTGTTACAGTGCAGTGGGAAAGTATTCAGAGCCCTTAACTTTATCCACATTTTGTTATGTTAGCCTTATTCTAAAATTGATTAAATTGTTACCCCCCCCTCCCCCCATCTACATACAATACCCAACAATGACAAAGCAAAAACCAGGTTTTTAGACATTTTTGGAAATGTACTAAAAATAAAAAACCTAATTTACACAAGTATTCAGAAACTTCACTTTGTTAAAGCACATTTGGCAGCGACTACAGCCTCGAGTCTTCTTGGGTATGACGCTACAAGCTTGGCACACCTATATTTGGGGAGTTTCTCCCATTCTTCTCTGCAGATCTGCTCAAGCTCTGTCATGTTGGATGGGGAGCGTCGCTGCACAGCTATTTTCAGGTCTCTCCAGAGATGTTCGATTGGGTTCAAGTCCGGGCTCTGGCTGGGCCACTCAAGGACATTCAGAGACTTGTCCCGAAGCCATTACTGCGTTGTCTTGGCTGTGTGCTTAGGGTCGTTGTCCTGTTGGAAGGTGAACCTTCGCCCCAGTCTGAGGTCCTGAGCAGGTTTTCATCAAGGATCTCTCTGTACTTTGCTCCGTTCATCTTTCCCTCGATCCTGATTAGTCTCCCAGTCCCTGCCGCTGAAAAACATCCCCACAGCATGATGCTGCCACCATCATGCTTCACCGTAGGGATGGTGCCAGGTTTCCTCCAGACGTGACGCTTGGCATTCAGCCCAAAGAGTTCAATCTTGGTTTCATCAGACCAGAGAATCTTGTTTCTCATGGTCTGAGTCCTTTAGGTGCCTTTTGGCAAACTCCAAACGGGCTGTCATGTGTCTTTTACTGAGGAGTGGCTTCCGTCTGGCCACTCTACCATAAAGGCCTGATTGGTGGAGTGCTGCAGAGATCAATGTCCTTCTGGAAGGTTCTCCCATCTCCACAGAGGAACTCTGGAGGTCTGTCAGAGTGACCATTGGGTTCTTGGTTACCTCCTTGACCAAGGCCCTTCTCCCCCGATTGCTCAGTTTGGCCGGGTGGCCAGCTCTAGGAAGAGTCTTGGTGGTTGCAAACTTCTTCCATTTAAGAATGATGGAGGCCACTGTGTTCTTGGTGACCTTCAATGCTGCAGACATGTTTTGGTACTCTTCTCCAGATCTGTGCCTTGACACAATCCTGTCTCTGAGCTCTACGGACAATTCCTTCGACCTCATGGCTTGGTTTTTTGCTGACATGCACCGTCAACTATGTGACCTTTATATAGACAAGGCGTGTGTCTTCCCAAATCATGTCCAATCAACTGAATTTACCACAGGTGGACTCCAATCAAGTTGTAGAAACATCTCAAGGATGATCGATGGAAACAGGATGCACCTGAGCTCAATTTTGAGTCTCGTAGCAAAGGGTCTGAATAAGGTATTTCTGTTTTTTATTTTTAATAAATTTGCAACAATTTCTAAAAACCTGTTTTCACTTTGTTATTATGGGGTATTGTGTGTAGATTGATCAGGAAAAAATAATAATTTAATCAATTTTAGAATTAAGGCTGTAACAAAATGTGGAAAAAGGGAAGGGGTCTGAATACTTTCCGAATGCACTATGTTTTAACCTGCTCGCTCTCTGACTAATACTCGTATACTAAGGAACTGAACATAAAGAAAAAAGGTGTAGTTGGAATAGGATAACTACCATCCATATATTTTATGATCAAATTACCATGTACTCGCATTATGCTGCAATGTGATTGCAGCTTCTCTGCTTCAAGCAATCTGCAGTCTGTTTGTTTTTTCCCTCCAAAGAAATAAGGATGTTCTTTCGGTTTGCTGGTTTCCTATGATTAAATAAAAAACATTCTTCCTGTGATGACTAGACAGTTTTTCATTGTTAACACTGAAACCACAAAAACATGTTTACCAAGCTTAGAGTTTTGTCTTCACATACCATTGGTTCATTTGTTCTCTAATTATTCAGTAAAGATAAACATCTGAATCAGTTTGCTGCTACTCTCTAATTGAACGTTTTTTGGGGGTTGAATTTGAAAGGTATTGCCATGGAAATGAGTCAAATGAATTATCATGGCGTGAGACTTGGTTGATCGCACCCACTTTAGCTTGTCTTGCATATAAACATGCCCCATCCAAAAACATCTGTTCATAATGTCCTATTTTATTCTAGTCTTATCTGCACAGGATATGCAGTAGGAACATCAGCTTTCAATTTGTATTCATTTGGGCTGTAAACTCCTTTTTATGCTAAAGAGGACAGGATACTCAAACTAATCAAGGTAATGATTAGTGTAACAGTTTTACTACTTGTCTTTGACCATAGTAGTGTTGAGGGTCCAACTGAAAATGTACTACGTTTTTCAGAAATTAAGGAAAATAAAGTGGAGATTCTAAGGACCACCCTTTGTGCTTTCTTTATGGGGACAGTAACATCTTCCAAACCAGTGAGCATCTCCATTTATACAATACTTGTATCATTGTCTTATAAATCTATTGCACCATACTGTCCAAGATTACAAAGTGAATAGACAGTGTAAAAGGTCTGCTGTGTTTCTGTCTCTACACTAAAATGTTATTTATATTTGTGAAAACAGGTCAGTCTGCATGAATTCTATCTTAGAACTAAGACGCCTGGAATCCTCTGAGTCCAATGAGTCTTCCTCAGAGGTAATTGGTCCACCACAGACAACCCTTCAGCCAACAGTCGCTGACGCTGAGACCGTAATACCAGACGCCCGGAAGGAGACAGACCCACCAGACAGTTTTAACCTGAACGCAGCCTCACAATCCTTCACAAACCTCCCTTCAAACTGACAACTCATCAGCGGATTCACTAAACTGTCCAGAAAAGGAGTCTTCTTCACAACAACCAGTCATCATCGCAGTGACTGATTCTCCCTGTCTGACTTCTGATGGTGGCACAACAGCTCTGCCATCAGTCACTGACATAATCACGTTCCAAGAATTCCATGTGGGAACAACTCCTCCCCCAGCTCCACACATCATTGGTCCAACTCCTCCCCAGCCCCACATTTCATTGGGCCAACTCCTCACCCAGCCCCACACATCATTGGGCCAACTCCAACCCCAGTCTCTTCAGTACTAACTCGGGCAGCCAGTTCCATTGGGAACCACTGATGGCGTCACATCTGCGGTGCCAGTTTGCTTTACTGTATACATAACCAGCCCTCAGCCAGTTCCTGCCATTTAAAGCTTATACAAAAGCAGGCAAGAATTCTATTTTTATGTTGATATTTCCAGTCTGTACATGTGTATAATTTGATGGGCTTTCTATACATTTCACAGAATGTCCATTGCATTTGTTTTTATAAAGAACACTTTACCACCACTATTCACTATTTATTTTTGGGATAACTGACACAAATCTGAAATTACATTCAACACCATCATGGTATTTATTATTAGTTACGTTAAATATCACGGAATCCCAACACCTGCATCAATGAATGACACCAAAGGCAATACAGATGCAATATTTTCATACTCCACTTTTCTCCTTTGTTTGAGCAACAGTACCAACAATGAGTTAAGCATGGAGTGAGATATAGTTGCCAACAGCCATTGTCTAACTGCAGTATTTATTCAATAATTTACATACATGTGTTATTCATGATAATCCACAGGACTATGTAAAATGTTTATTCAACTCATACATGGAATTAACCAGATTTGATGTTACACAGTATATAAAATACCTGAGTTTTACAAACATTACCATTGTAAAATGTCAGTCTAAAGCAATTAGTTAGGCTTTTAGACACGCAAAGCCGCTCAAACATTGCCAAACTCCTCACAAAACATATATAAAAAAGAATATCCCCACACCACAAAAAAATAAAAATACATTTTGTGAAAGCATTATTATTGACATATGAATCCATTCCAACTTGGGACAAAAATGGGAAATAAATTATGTGTGGCTGACTTTATAGGCATCTGATTTTCACATTAAAGACATGCTCCAGTACTTTGGCGACTAAGAAAGTATTTTTTAAACCTCAATGCATAATCTATGAGCAGAATTACTGTCTTACCTCAATCAGCCACAAAATCCCTAGTTTGAAAGCGACTGTTTTCTTGAAGCTGTGCCGCTCCATTTTCCCTACATTTCCCCCCACGTGGTCCAACCCCCTAGCAATTTGAGTTCTAGTCAACGAGCTTCAGCCCCTCATATTTGAGTGACAGCTAGCAAGAGGTCTGCCCAGCATTATCCAATGAGGTTACAAGGCGGGCCCAATGGCTCAGCGGACACAGTAGAGAGCAATGATGTGGTGCACATATCTGCACATATGAGACGCAGTACGCAATTTTCGGGGACCACTTTTGGCTAGCGAGTTCTACTTTCAGAACTACTGCCTAAAAAGTATACAAAAGTACCGGAGAATCTCTAAGAAAATGAATTCGTCATTCACAATTCTCTTCTGCTGGCTTTTTATCTGAGAAACAAATTGTTCAATAGCAATGCCTTTTTAATGGGTTTGTAATAACAGAAATTCAATCCCAAAACTGCTGTACAACACACTAGACTGTGGATCAAAGTTCGGGGCCCCAAGGACCTGGAACCCAGGCATGACTAACTGTACTCTTGGCAGAGCAATGTTGGGAAAGAGGTGGATAGTATAGTTAAGTCTGTGTAGACTGGGGGAGTAGGGTGAAGCATAAAGATAACTATGGGGTGGACTCCTAATGTTCTCTCCATAGAATTATAGGTATTCTAATTCTATGGTTCTGGCACTGGGGACTGGGGCTGCTGCTCTGGCTCTTGCTGTGGCTCCTGGGGCTGTGGCTCCTTGGGCTGTTGTATCAGTCCCCCATCCTGTGCTGTGTTGTAGAACCCACAGCCACTGCACTTCCTTCCCAGAGCATGAAAAGGCACTGTACAGTCAGGGAAAAGGAGAAAGGAAAGGCCGAGCAAACCATGTCATGAGGCAGAAGTAGTGCTCAATACTGAAACTTCAAAAGGAAGTTTAAATATCCCTCATATCTGAATATACAAGCCTGAAGTGACTCACATAAAATAAACCAATGTAAATCTACACCAGATCAGTGTAGTCACAGTATCCCAGAACACAAGCATTGAGGTCAGCATGTTTTTTTTTTTGCTTTAAAGTTCCATTTCACATTCAAAGTGAATACATGTGTCATATTATGACATACCTTCTCAGTGGCATCCTAGTATTCAGTGGGCATGGGTGACTGAGCCATCTCTTTGTCCATCTCCTCCCCGTAGTCCTCCATATTCCAGGCCGAGTGCATACAGAGTGGGCAGCGATACGCACTGAAGAGGAAATATATAGAGGCAATATTCCTAGTCACACAGATCATAACTGCTTATATGAAAGTCATGCAAATGATATGATTGATAAGTTATTGAAAGTAATTAGGATCAATATATGATTAGTAGCACAATATTTGAAAAGGAATAGGGGTATTACCCAATTTGAACCATGTCATCAAAGCAAGTTCTGAAAAACAAAAGAAAACCAGTGAACATTCTAAAAATAATTCCATAGACCAGAAGACAAGAGTAAGTAAGACTCCACTAATGCACCTGCTGTATCAGCCATCAGATTAACAGTGGCATCAATGCAACTTTTTTTTTATAGGTCATATAGGCTAATGACAATGGTTTTGAGAGTATTATGAAGAAAATGTCATACTTGTGTAGAAGATGGCCACACGGAAGAACGTGAGGTCCTATTCTGGATGTGTGCATATCCTTAGTTAGAGAGAAGACAAAACATTATGTATGTATCGATTATAAACTGTATGAGGAAAAGTACTTATGACATTTTCATATACAGGTTGTGAATTTCTATAAAACAATATTGTACACTGAGTATACCAAACATTAGGAACACCTTCCTAATATTGAGTTGCGGGGCATGGACTTTCCAAGGTGTCGAAAGCGTTCCACAGGGATGCTGGCCCATGTTGACTCCAATGGTTCCCACAGCTGTGGCAAGTTGGCTGGATGTCCTTTGGGTGGTGGACCATTCTTGATACACTGAAAACTGTTGAGCGTGAAAAATCCTGCAGCGTTGCAGTGGACTTAACAAGTGAAATCAATAAGGGATCATAGCTTTCACCTGGATTCACCTGGTCAGTCCATGTCATGGAAAAAGCAGGTGTCCTTCATGTTTTGTACACTCAAGTGTATAATAAACAACATAATAAAGTGAAATGCACAGCAATCATCTAACTTATCTTACTATTCATTATCTTACCTCCATACACACTGGGCAGTTCTGTCTTGAAACATTTTCAACACACTGAAACCAAACAAACAGTCTAGTACAGATAAATCAAGTGAATGACAAGAGCCATGGCATTAGCAGTATTGTATTGGGGCAATTCCACATTAACGTAATTAAGCTGAAATCTCAGAATTTTCACATTAATATATATGCCAAACAAAAACCATTGATTTTAGAGTTGTACGGTTTGCTAAACTTTGAAATCAAGAGTTTTTGTTTGGTATATATTTGAAAGTGAAAAATCTGATCTCAACGTAATTCCTTTACCATGGAATTGCCCATTGACAATTTACAGACCAGCGACAGATATAATAAGGGTCATAGTGGAGGTTGACAATCACCTTGTGATTTCCTCGTAGATCACTGGCTAAACAGAGATTGCACTTCTCACAGTGGAAGTATTTCTCCCTTGGTCCAATCCTGCAGGAGTACATAACATGACCGTCCATATTTGATATGCTATTCAAGTGTTAAGACACCAATATATGCAAATCAAATGAAAATCTAAAATATGCTGGCGGTCTGAAGCTGGTCAGATATATCAGCTGATGAACTTGGGTGAACTATATATGGGCATTTATATGCCAAACAGGGCAGAGTTACTCACCTGCATATTCCACAGGGCTGACAGTGATACTGCTTTTTGTCTTGGACCTGGACATGTACTGGCTTAAGCAGGGGGACACGTCTGGCACTGCAGGATTTGAGTCCCTGGCGGCGTAGTGTGTTACTGATGGTAGGCTTTGTTACTTTGGTCCCAGCTCTCTGCAGGTCATTCACTAGGTCCCCCCGTGTGGTTCTGGGATTTTTGCTCACCGTTCTTGTGATCATTTTGACCCCACGGGGTGGGATCTTGCGTGGAGCCCCAGATCGAGGGAGATTATCAGTGGTCTTGTATGTCTTCCATTTCCTAATAATTGCTCCCACAGTTGCTTTCTTCAAACCAAGCTGCTTACCTATTGCAGATTCAGTCTTCCCAGCCTGGTGCAGGTCTACAATTTGGTTTCTGGTGTCCTTTGACAGCTCTTTGGTCTTGGCCATAGTGGAGTTTGGAGTGTGACTGTTTGAGGTTGTGGACAGGTGTCTTTTATACTGATAACAAGTTCAAACAGGTGCCATTAATACAGGTAACGAGTGGAGGACAGAGGAGCCTCTTAAATAAGAAGTTACAGGTCTGTGAGAGCCAGAAATCTTGCTTGTTTGTAGGTGACCAAATACTTATTTTCCACCATAATTTGCAAATCAATTCATTAAAAATCCTACAATGTGATTTTCTGGAAAAAAATGTCTCAATTTGTCTGTCATAGTTGACGTGTACCTATGATGAAAATTACAGGCCTCTCTCATCTTTTTAAGTGGGAGAACTTGCACAATTGGTGGCTGACTAAATACTTTTTTCCCCCACTGTATATATATATATATATATATATATATATATATATATATATATATTATTTTTGTTCTTGTTTAAAAAAAAAACACTATTTCAGCTTTTATTTTATGCACTTTGATATTATTCTTGTATAATCAAAAGCGCTTTACATATGTAATAAATTATTACATTCATTTGACTGACAGTTGTTGGCGATCATGGTACTTGGTAGTCCCAACCCCTTGACAGTAACCTCAGGGTTGCCTCCCTCCCTTCATGATGATAGATGATAACCATACAATTACAAATAATTATACTTCTATGATGTAGCTAAACATTCTGCTCATGTTCATACATTAATCTACAGTAGCTGACAAACCATTTATGACGGTGACAAGCCGATCGATAGCTAGCTACTCAGATAGTAGCTAGCATGGCTAGTTAGTTATATAGGAATGACACCAAGCAAACTAATGTTACATTAATGTAAAAACAATATTTACAACTATAGATGTCCTGATTCATGACCTGACATTTTAATCACCCGTTCAGACAGCTAGCAATCTAGCCAGCAACCTAACGCACTAGCTAGATTGCTACAGTAGCTAGCTAGGTTTATAGGTCTGTTATGACTGAGTAAAACACGTTAGCTATTATAAAGCAGGAAACATGAATAAGACAATCAATAACATACCTGTCTTAATATCTCGTAGAATTAACACTTTCAAAAAACAGCTAGTACGTAGTGATCATATCCAACTTGTCTTATGACCAGCTCCTGAACACATTACTGCCACCTAGTGCGCTGGAGGGGCGCTCATGGTGCAACTTTCTGCATCGCTGGCAGCAAACCGGATAATGGCTAGAAGGGATCCTGCTTTTGTGAAATTAACGTCAGATTTGAACACACCGACTGTGTTTTGCGCAAAATAGTATGCAGCATCATCTAGATATGTGTGCAACAAAAGTTCAACATTCACATTCTGCTACCATTTCCGTCAACCCGTTTACGCATACAGTTTGAGGCATACGTTCGATAAATCCAACATATGCACCACACAGAACGCACTGCAACTGCCTCTGCAACACAATGCTGCAAGGCAAACGCAGTGTTCCATTTGAAATAAATGTACTTCTGGTGTGCCAAAACGCAATGACACAGTCGGTGTATTTGAAGCGTTAGGGTTGGCTAAAATGCAAAACAAATATAAACTGTTTATGTTAATTTCACAAAATCCCTTCTAGCTATAACTCTGCAACCGCTCTTGCTGCAACACTCATAAAAATTACTCGGTACAGGCAACCCAATTAGTCAGGTTTTCCTCCAACAAAATAACAATTTAACCCTTCTAACGTCTGATAGGCCAGCTGTTTTGTGTTATCAGAAAATCAATTTGCTTCAGAAAGTAGTGGTGTCATGCCACAAGGGAGCAGTGTTTACTTGGAATCATAGGCCTACAACATATATACAGGGGACATGAACAGTATAGTACAGTCGTGGTCAAAAGTTTTGAGAATGACACAAGTATTGGTCTTCACAAAGTTCGCTGCTTCAGTGATATGAGATATTTTTGTTAGATGTTACTATGGTATACTGAAGTATAATTACAAACATTCCATAAGTGTCAAAGGCTTTTATTGACAATTACATTTAGTTTATGCAGAGTCAATATTTGCAGTGTTGACCCTTCTTTTTCAAGACCTCTGCAATCCACCAGACAGTTTTAACCTGAACGCAGCCTCACAATCCTTCACAAACCTCCCTTCAAACTGACAACTCATCAGCGGATTCACTAAACTGTCCAGAAAAGGAGTCTTCTTCACAACAACCAGTCATCATCGCAGTGACTGATTCTCCCTGTCTGACTTCTGATGGTGGCACAACAGCTCTGCCATCAGTCACTGACATAATCACGTTCCAAGAATTCCATGTGGGAACAACTCCTCCCCCAGCTCCACACATCATTGGCCAACTCCTCCCCCAGCTCCACACATCATTGGCCAACTCCTCCCCAGCCCCACATTTCATTGGGTCAACTCCTCACCCAGCCCCACACATCATTGGGCCAACTCCAACCCCAGTCTCTTCAGTACTAACTCGGGCAGCCAGTTCCATTGGGAACCACTGATGGCGTCACATCTGCGGTGCCAGTTTGCTTTACTGTATACATAACCAGCCCTCAGCCAGTTCCTGCCATTTAAAGCTTATACAAAAGCAGGCAAGAATTCTATTTTCATGTTGATATTTCCAGTCTGTACATGTGTATAATTTGATGGGCTTTCTATACATTTCACAGAATGTCCATTGCATTTGTTTTTATAAAGAACACTTTACCACCACTATTCACTATTTATTTTTGGGATAACTGACACAAATCTGAAATTACATTCAACACCATCATGGTATTTATTATTAGTTACGTTAAATATCACTGAATCCCAACACCTGCATCAATGAATGACACCAAAGGCAATACAGATGCAATATTTTCATACTCCACTTTTCTCCTTTGTTTGAGCAACAGTACCAACAATGAGTTAAGCATGGAGTGAGATATAGTTGCCATCAGCCATTGTCTAACTGCAGTATTTATTCAATAATTTACATACATGTGTTATTCATGATAATCCACAGGACTATGTAAAATGTTTATTCAACTCATACATGGAATTAACCAGATTTGATGTTACACAGTATATAAAATACCTGAGTTTTACAAACATTACCATTGTAAAATGTCAGTCTAAAGCAATTAGTTAGGCTTTTAGACACGCAAAGCCGCTCAAACATTGCCAAACTCCTCACAAAACATATATAAAAAAGAATATCCCCACGCCACAAAAAAAAAAATATATACATTTTGTGAAAGCATTATTATTGACATATGAATCCATTCCATCTTGGGACAAAAATGGGGAATAAATTATGTGTGGCTGACTTTATAGGCATCTGATTTTCACATTAAAGACATGCTCCAGTACTTTGGCGACTAAGAAAGTATTTTTTAAACCTCAATGCATAATCTATGAGCAGAATTACTGTCTTACCTCAATCAGCCACAAAATCCCTAGTTTGAAAGCGACTGTTTTCTTGAAGCTGTGCCGCTCCATTTTCCCTACATTTCCCCCCACGTGGTCCAAACCCCTAGCAATTTGAGTTCTAGTCAACGAGCTTCAGCCCCTCACATTTGAGCGACAGCTAGCAAGAGGTCTGCCCAGCATTATCCAATGAGGTTGCAAGGCGGGCCCAATGGCTCAGCGGACACAGTAGAGAGCAATGATGTGGTGCACATATCTGCACATATGACACGCAGTACGCAATTTTCGGGGACCACTTTTGGCTAGCGAGTTCTACTTTCAGAACTACTGGCTAAAAAGTATACAAAAGTACCGGAGAATCTCTAAGAAAATGAATTCCTCATTCACAATTCTCTTCTGCTGGCTTTTTATCTGTGAAACAAATTGTTCAATAGCAATGCCTTTTTAATGAGTTTGTAATAACAGAAATTCAATCCCAAAACTGCTGTACAACACAATAGACTGTGGATCAAAGTTCGGGACCCCAAGGACCTGGAACCAGGTTCTGGAACCCAGGCATGACTAACTGTACTCTTGGCAGAGCAATGTTGGGAAAGAGGTGGATAGTATAGTTAAGTCTGTGTAGACTGGGGGAGTAGGGTGAAGCATAAAGATAACTATGGGGTGGACTCCTAATGTTCTCTCCATAGAATTATAGGTATTCTAATTCTATGGTTCTGGCACTGGGGACTGGGGCTGCTGCTCTGGCTCTTGCTGTGGCTCCTGGGGCTGTGGCTCCTTGGGCTGTTGTATCAGTCCCCCATCCTGTGCTGTGTTGTAGAACCCACAGCCACTGCACTTCCTTCCCAGAGCATGAAAAGGCACTGTACAGTCAGGGAAAATGAGAAAGGAAAGGCTGAGCAAACCATGTCATGAGGCAGAAGTAGTGCTCAATACTGAAACTTCAAAAGGAAGTTTAAATATCCCTCATATCTGAATATACAAGCCTGAAGTGACTCACATAAAATAAACCAATGTAAATCTACACCAGATCAGTGTAGTTACAATATCCCAGAACACAAGGGACCACAAGCATTGAGGTCAGCATGTTTTTTTTTTTGCTTTAAAGTTCCATTTCACATTCAAAGTGAATACATGTGTCATATTATGACATACCTTCTCAGTGGCATCCTAGTATTCAGTGGGCATGGGTGACTGAGCCATCTCTTTGTCCATCTCCTCCCCGTAGTCCTCCATATTCCAGGCCGAGTGCATACAGAGTGGGCAGCGATACGCACTGAAGAGGAAATATATAGAGGCAATATTCCTAGTCACACAGATCATAACTGCTTATATGAAAGTCATGCAAATGATATGATTGATAAGTTATTGAAAGTAATTAGGATCAATATATGATTAGTAGCACAATATTTGAAAAGGAATAGGGGTATTACCCAATTTGAACCATGTCATCAAAGCAAGTTCTGAAAAACAAAAGAAAACCAGTGAACATTCTAAAAATAATTCCATAGACCAGAAGACAAGAGTAAGTAAGACTCCACTAATGCACCTGCTGTATCAGCCATCAGATTAACAGTGGCATCAATGCAACTTTTTTTTTTTTAGGTCATATAGGCTAATGACAATGGTTTTGAGAGTATTATGAAGAAAATGTCATACTTGTGTAGAAGATGGCCACACGGAAGAACGTGAGGTCCTATTCTGGATGTGTGCATATCCTTAGTTAGAGAGAAGACAAAACATTATGTATGTATCGATTATAAACTGTATGAGGAAAAGTACTTATGACATTTTCATATACAGGTTGTGAATTTCTATAAAACAATATTGTACACTGAGTATACCAAACATTAGGAACACCTTCCTAATATTGAGTTGCGGGGCATGGACTTTCCAAGGTGTCGAAAGCGTTCCACAGGGATGCTGGCCCATGTTGACTCCAATGGTTCCCACAGCTGTGGCAAGTTGGCTGGATGTCCTTTGGGTGGTGGACCATTCTTGATACACTGAAAACTGTTGAGCGTGAAAAATCCTGCAGCGTTGCAGTGGACTTAACAAGTGAAATCAATAAGGGATCATAGCTTTCACCTGGATTCACCTGGTCAGTCCATGTCATGGAAAAAGCAGGTGTCCTTCATGTTTTGTACACTCAAGTGTATAATAAACAACATAATAAAGTGAAATGCACAGCAATCATCTACCTGATCTTACTATTCATTATCTTACCTCCATACACACTGGGCAGTTCTGTCTTGAAACATTTTCAACACACTGAAACCAAACAAACAGTCTAGTACAGATAAATCAAGTGAATGACAAGAGCCATGGCATTAGCAGTATTGTATTGGGGCAATTCCACATTAACGTAATTAAGCTGAAATCTCAGAAATTTCACATTAATATATATGCCAAACAAAAACCATTGATTTTACATTTTTTTACATTTTTAGTCATTTAGCAGACGCTCTTATCCAGAGCGACTTACAGGAGCAATTAGGGTTAAGTGCCTTGCTCAAGGGCACATCGACAGATTTTTCACCTAGTCGGCTCAGGGATTAGAACCAGCGACCTTTCGGTTACTGGCACAGCGCTCTTACCCACTAAGCTACCTGTACGGTTTGCTAAACTTTGAAATCAAGTGTTTTTGTTTGGTATATATTTGAAAGTGAAAAATCTGATCTCAACGTAATTCCATTACCATGGAATTGCCCATTGACAATTTACAGACCAGCGACAGATATAATAAGGGTCATAGTGGAGGTTGACAATCACCTTGTGATTTCCTCGTAGATCACTGGCTAAACAGAGATTGCACTTCTCACAGTGGAAGTATTTCTCCCTTGGTCCAATCCTGCAGGAGTACATAACATGACCGTCCATATTTGATATGCTATTCAAGTGTTAAGACACCAATATATGCAAATCAAATGAAAATCTAAAATATGCTGGCGGTCTGAAGCTGGTCAGATATATCAGCTGATGAACTTGGGTGAACTATATATGGGCATTTATATGCCAAACAGGGCAGAGTTACTCACCTGCATATTCCACAGGGCTGACAGTGATACTGCTTTTTGTCTTGGACCTGGACATGTACTGGCTTAAGCAGGGGGACACGTCTGGCACTGCAGGATTTGAGTCCCTGGCGGCGTAGTGTGTTACTGATGGTAGGCTTTGTTACTTTGGTCCCAGCTCTCTGCAGGTCATTCACTAGGTCCCCCCGTGTGGTTCTGGGATTTTTGCTCACCGTTCTTGTGATCATTTTGACCCCACGGGGTGGGATCTTGCGTGGAGCCCCAGATCGAGGGAGATTATCAGTGGTCTTGTATGTCTTCCATTTCCTAATAATTGCTCCCACAGTTGCTTTCTTCAAACCAAGCTGCTTACCTATTGCAGATTCAGTCTTCCCAGCCTGGTGCAGGTCTACAATTTGGTTTCTGGTGTCCTTTGACAGCTCTTTGGTCTTGGCCATAGTGGAGTTTGGAGTGTGACTGTTTGAGGTTGTGGACAGGTGTCTTTTATACTGATAACAAGTTCAAACAGGTGCCATTAATACAGATAACAAGTGGAGGACAGAGGAGCCTCTTAAAGAAGAAGTTACAGGTCTGTGAGAGCCAGAAATCTTGCTTGTTTGTAGGTGACCAAATACTTATTTTCCACCATAATTTGCAAATCAATTCATTAAAAATCCTACAATGTGACTACTGCCATTTTTTTTCTCAATTTGTCTGTCATAGTTGACGTGTACCTATGATGAAAATTACAGGCCTCTCTCATCTTTTTAAGTGGGAGAACTTGCACAATTGGTGGCTGACCCAATACTTTTCCCCCCCACTGTATATATATATATATATATATATATATATATATTATTTTTGTTCTTGTTTTAAAAAAAACTTTATTTTATGCACTTTGATATTATTCTTGTATAATCAAAAGCGCTTTACATATGTAATAAATTATTACATTCATTTGACTGACAGTTGTTGGCGATCATGGTACTTGGTAGTCCCAACCCCTTGACAGTAACCTCAGGGTTGCCTCCCTCCCTTCATGATGATAGATGATAACCATACAATTACAAATAATTATACTTCTATGATGTAGCTAAACATTCTGCTCATGTTCATCCATTAATTTACAGTAGCTGACAAACCATTTATGACGGTGACAAGCCGATCGATAGCTAGCTACTCAGATAGTAGCTAGCATGGCTAGTTAGTTATATAGGAATGACACCAAGCAAACTAATGTTACATTAATGTAAAAACAATATTTACAACTATAAATGTCCTGATTCATGACCTGACATTTTAATCACCCGTTCAGACAGCTAGCAATCTAGCCAGCAACCTAACGCACTAGCTAGATTGCTACAGTAGCTAGCTAGGTTTATAGGTCTGTTATGACTGAGTAAAACACGTTAGCTATTATAAAGCAGGAAACATGAATAAGACAATCAATAACATACCTGTCTTAATATCTCGTAGAATTAACACTTGCAATTTCTCACTTTCAAAAAACAGCTACGTACGTAGTGATCATATCCAACTTGTCTTATGACCAGCTCCTGAACACATTACTGCCACCTAGTGCGCTGGAGGGGCGCTCATGGTGCAACTTTCTGCATCGCTGGCTGCAAACCGGATCATGGCTAGAAGGGATCCTGCTTTTGTGAAATTAAACGTCAGATTTGAACACACCGACTGTGTTTTGCGCAAAATAGTATGCAGCATCATCTAGATATGTGTGCAACAAAAGTTCAATATTCACCTTCTGCTACCATTTCCGTCAACCCGTTTACGCATACAGTTTGAGGCATACGTTCGATAAATTCAACATATGCACCACACAGAACGCACTGCAACTGCCTCTGCAACACAATGCTGCAAGGCAAACGCAGCGTTCCATTTGAAATAAATGTACTTCTGGTGTGCCAAAACGCAATGACACAGTCGGTGTATTTGAAGCGTTAGGGTTGGCTAAAATGCAAAACAAATATAAACTTTTTATGTTAATTTCACAAAATCCCTTCTAGCTATAACTCTGCAACCGCTCTTGCTGCAACCCTCATGAAAATTACTCAGTACAGGCAACCCAATTAGTCAGGTTTTCCTCCAACAAAATAACAATTTAACCCTTCTAACGTCTGATAGGCCAGCTGTTTTGTGTTATCAGAAAATCAATTTGCTTCAGAAAGTAGTGGTGTCATGCCACAAGGGAGCAGTGTTTACTTGGAATCATAGGCCTACAACATATATACAGGGGACATGAACAGTATAGTACAGTCGTGGTCAAAAGTTTTGAGAATGACACAAGTATTGGTCTTCACAAAGTTCGCTGCTTCAGTGTTATGAGATATTTCTGTCAGATGTTACTATGGTATACTGAAGTATAATTACAAGCATTCCATAAGTGTCAAAGGCTTTTATTGACAATTACATTTAGTTTATGCAAAGAGTCAATATTTGCAGTGTTGACCCTTCTTTTTCAAGACCTCTGCAATCCGCCCTGGCATGCTGTCAATTAACTTCTGGGATCCTGACTGATGGCAGCCCATTCTTGCGTAATCAATGCTTGGAGTTTGTCAGAATTTGTGGGTTTTTGTTTGTCCACCCGCCTCTTGAGGATCGACCACAAATTCTCAATGGGATTAAGGTCTGGGGAGTTTCCTGGCCATGGACCCAAAATGTCGATGTTTTGTTCCCCGAGCAACTTAGTTATCACTTTTGCCTTATGGCAAGGTGCTCCATCATGCTGGAAAAGGCATTGGTTGTCACCAACCTGTTCTTGGATGGTTGGGAGAAGTTGCTCTCGGAGGATGTGTTGGTACCATTCTTTATTCATGGTTGTGTTCTTAGGCAAAATTGTGAGTGAACCTACTCCCTTGGCTGAGAAGCAACCCCACACATGAATGGTCTCAGGATGCTTTACTGTTGGCATGACACAGGACTGATGGTAGCGCTCACCTTGTCTTCTCCGGACAAGCTTTTTTCCGGATGCCCCAAACAATCGGAAAGGGGATTCATCAGAGAAAATGACTTTGCCCCAGTCCTCAGCAGTCCAATCCCTGTACCTTTTGCAGAATATCAGTCTGTCCCTGATGTTTTTCCTGGAGAGAAGTGGCTTCTTTGCTGCCCTTCTTGACTAATTATGCATACTCAAAATCATCATGCTTTTTTTAACAATACAAAACATATGCATACAAAGACAACATACAGATGCACACAAACATCCACAACATCACCCCTGCCCAGACCCACCTGCTCACACCCCCATCTACAGCGCCCGCATCACTCTTCGCCAAATGGCCTCAAACTGCACCATTTTGTTTCTCTCCGTCGCCCACGCACTTTCAACATTTAGATAATAAAGCATTTGACCTTTCCATTGTGTTAATGATGGAGGATTGGTTGATATCCATTTTTGAAGTATACTTTTTTTCAACACGATTGACGAGAAAAGTATCGTCCATCCCATTGGGTATCTCACTGCATCCTCATATGCCATGTCTTGAAATATTTTGTATTTGTATTTATTATGGATCCCCATTAGCTGCTGCCAAGGCAGCAGCTACTCTTCCTGGGGTCCAGCAAAATTAAGGCAGTTGTAAAATTTTAAAAACATTACAATACATTCACAACAGATTTCACAACACATTAAGTATGTGCCCTTAGGCCCCTACTCAACTACCACATATCTCCAACACAAAATCCATCGGTACGTGTGTGTATAGTGCGTATGATATCATGTGTTTGCATGCATGTGTCTGTGCCTATGTTTGTGTTGCTTCACAGTACCCACTGTTCCATAAGGTGTATTTTTGTCTGTTTTTTAAATCAAATTTTACTGCTTACATGAGTTACTTGATGTGGAATAGAGTTCCATGTACTCATGGCTCTATGTAGTACTGTGCGCCTCCCATAGTCTGTTCTGGACTTGGGGACTGTGAAGAGACCTCTGGTGGCATGTCTTGTGGGGTATGCATGGGTGTCTGAGCTGTGAGCCAGTAGTTCAAACAGACAGCTCGGTGCATTCAACATGTCAATACCTCCCACAAATACAAGTAGTGATGAAGTCAATCTCTCCTCCACTTTGAGCCAGGAGAGATTGACATGCATATTATTAATGTTAGCTCTCTGTGTACATCTAAGGGCCAGCCGTGCTGCCCTGTTCTGAGCCAACTGCAATTTTCCTATGTCCCTCTTTGTGGCACCTGACCACACGACTGAACATTAGTCCAGGTGCGACAAAACTAGGGTCTGTAGGACCTGCCTTGTTGATAGTGCTGTTAAGAAGGCAGAACAGCGCTTTATTATGGTCAGACTTCTCCCCATCTTAGCTACTGTTGTATCAACATGTTTTGACCATGACAGTTTACAATCCAGGGTTATTCCAAGCAGTTTAGTCACCTCAACGTGCTCAATTTCCACATTATTCATTACAAGATTTAGTTGAGGTTTAGGGCTTAGTGAATTATTTGTCCCAAATACAATGCTTTTAGTTTTTGAAATATTTAGGACTAACTTATTCCTTGCCACCCATTCTGAAACTAACTGCAGCTCTTTGTTAAGTGTTGCAGTCATTTCAGTCCCTGTAGTAGCTGACGTGTATAGTGTTGAGTCATCTGCATACATAGACACACTGTCGTTAGGAAGGGGCCTAGACAGCTGCCCTGGGGAATTCCTGATTCTACCTCGATTATGTTGGATAGGCTTCCATTAAAGAACACCCTCTGTGTTCTGTTAGACAGGTAACTCTTTATCCACAATATAGCAGGGGGTGTAAAGCCATAACACATACGTTTTTCCAACAGAGATTATGATCGATAATGTCAAAAGCTGCACTGAA